TCCATATATGCTTTTATTTTCCTGATCACAAACTCGGAATGCTGACTTCAATTTTGAATTGTTGGATATTTCAGATACTTTTTCATGATAATAATTTCCGTGTTTTTTGAATAAAAATGTCTCTACACTGTCCAATAATATTCATTCTTAGAATTCCCGGGATATTATGTTTACGTTTTCTGGTCATTGTGTCTTCTGGATCTTTAATTATCAATATACCGCGATCTTTAATAACATTTCCCATGCATTCAATGTCAGCTTCTATGTATCCAATATAAGGAATAGAAATTCCATCTGCTGCTTTCAAATTTAATTTCACATCATTCTTAATGTTTTTGCTCATCGCTTCAATGTTAGGCCATTCCAAGTTTTTTCTCTGTTTAGCGTCCACCCATCTTTCAAAAACCTACCTACCTATTCGCAAAAAAAACTCAAACCAAAAAATAAAACACAGACTTTATAGTCATGAAAAATGACGTCACTCAAAGGATTTGATTTCATTAATCTATTTTTATAGTAGAAAAGAACCCATTCTTCAGCAAAATCAAGGTATTCAATGCTTACTATATTCCTAATATGACATATTGTTGACAAATATTTGGAGAAATTGACAGAATTCAGTGATTTTGACCAGAATATTCAATTTGAGGACTCATGATTTTGTTTGTTTTTTGTGAGATGGGGTGTCAAAAACCAAGGCGCACGCGGACGCTAAACATAGAAAAAACTTGGAATGGCCTTATTTCTATAAAAACTTTCCGTAATTGTTGTCACCATGGATCCAGTGTCTAATAAACAGTTGATTTCTATTCCAAACAATTTTATATTGACTGTAGGGCTCGGACCAAGAATACGATTGACACAGTTAGAGTCCTCTTTATTTCCTACTGATGTCGGACTCTGCTCATCAGCAGGATCTATTTTCCCGACTGCTGATAACTTGAAGAAAAGTTGCGTGAACAGTCTCTTCTGAGATGATTCTCGCTGTTACAGTTGTAGCAACGGCGGCGTAATTGTGGATATGATGATCGGTATTGTTCTTTGGGTTTTGACACAGTCTGTTGTTCTAATACTTTTGTTAAATTGTCGATGTTTTGTTCTTGTCGTTTTATGAGTTCTAGGCACTTGTCAATTTCTTGATTAGTTTTCTCGGACGTCTTTGTAGATTCCGTTACTGAGTTTTCTGTTGAATGTTTCTCTTTTGAACCCTTTGTTCGGGTTTTTTCTTCTTCTTCTGAGTATAAAATTGCTTCGTCGCGGAAGTCTAGAAAATGCATTTTCGGTTGTTGTCGAATGAGTCGTTTCAATTCTCGGCGTAATGAAATATCAATCACATTTTGCGCAAATTGTTCACAAAGGGTCAGATCCGGATTCGGAATAACATCTGTGTTTTTCGTTGTTATTTTCTTTATGAGGTTCATCAATGCGTAACTGTATTCACGTAAAGATTACCCCTCCATCTGTTTTCGCTCAAAGAAATTTCTCTGTAGAACTGCTATTCCTTCTTTGTTTCCGAATGTATCACTCAAAATGCGCAAAATTTTGGTTGGATTGTTTCTCTCAACATATGATCTGTATTTTAATTTCTTATTTTGCTGATCCTTTTAAATTCGAATATATAAAGTTGATACTCTCCTCTCTATTCATACGGCGGCTATTGATAACATGTTCAACTTCCTCTATCCAGTCATCGACATGAATATCGTTCTTTTCTTCATTCCCGCTGAATTTTGGTACATTTCGGACTGGTGTTAAGTAGGTTGTTTTGGGTCTGGTATATTCTTCATTGTCCTCATCTATGGTCTGTCGAGTTCTTTTTGTAGAGTTTTGATTTGTTGTCTCAATTTCTTTGTCGGCATAGTCCGCTGTTTAAAGGTACGTCGATCAAAATAACGGTAGTACTGGAATTTCACAGGTGAGTTGTTTTTACCGATGACTGCTCACTGAATCCTGTAGACATTCTCGCTCACACAAGAATCACCTTTGACTGTAAATACCGGCGACGCCATTTGTGACCGAGTGATATAAAGATGGAAATGATGATGGTTTCTATATTTATTCACATATCAACAAGGTGATTCTTGTGCGAGGTGGTAAAGTCTACAGTCAGGAATCGCCGGATCTGCAGTAATTTGAATTTTAGATTTGGCTTGCTTTTATCACAAAAGAAACGATCTGATTTGATATTTCATTATGACAATAGCCAATGAGAAGTCATAGCCAATAGTAAAACAAACAAAAAAAATGTTCACCAACTCAATCCACCTGCGCACACACAAACTAGCTTAACTTTTATTCTCAATGACATAGTTAATTTATTTGGAATAGAAACATTTATTCAAAATGAGAAATTGTGATAAATATATTTCATATATATAAATCTGCCCACATTAATGTGACAAGACCTTTCTTTGGGTACCAATATATTTGATCTCTTGACCTTGAAGTTTGACCTACTTTTGCAAAACGTTACCAAACTCTGTACTTGGCCATAACTTTTGACCGGTTGGTGTTAGGGCTTTTTATTTCACATGTATATTCCATGTAATCATACCGTCACGGTAGCTCATTCGGTACAGCGCTGGCTCCGTGATCGGAAGGTCGTGGGTTCGAACCCCGGCCACAACTTACCTAAGTCGATAAAAAATAGGTAGCATCTGTTCCTTCGCCAAGTGTTCGGCACTTTGAAGTGAAATTTGCGGGTCCTTCGGATGAGACCTTAAAAACCAAGGCCCCGTGTCACGGCAGACGTGGGCACGATAAAGATCCCTCAAGGCTCAATGGCCCTGAGTGCTGAGTAAAGGTCTATATCTCTATATGAGTGAAAAATTCTCGAATGAAACGTTAAACAACATTCAATCAAAGTATCCTGCACTATATGCTTTAAATATCTCTCACATGGAAAACTGTTGAGTTCAACATTTTTGTCAATTTCATAACTATGGTTTCCTTGGATGTAACTCTTGGGCTACAACAATTACGAACATTAAAAAAATTGGCCACTGTTGCCACGTTCTCTAAAGCAAAAATTAGCCTTAAGCGGTATTTTAAGGTTAATTGGGGTACTGCTAGTGAGGATTGTGTTAATAAAAACTGTCATTTTCTCATGTTTGTGTTTTTGAAAGCAGTAAGAATGAGATGTATATGTAAAACACTGATGCCTCCATATAGCAGCTCTTTGCAAAGGTTAAAGTTTCTCAAATGCAAGTCAAACTCCAAGGTCAAAAAAGGTCATATTTAAGGAATACACCTGTGAAATATGAAAGAACTTGCTAAACCATTCAGAAATTATGGTCAAGGTTAAAGTTTTTCAAAAGTAGGTCAAACTCCTAGGTTACCATCATGAGGTCAATAATATTGGTACGAAAGAAAAGATCTTGTCACAAAAAATACCCATGTGAAATTAAAAGCTCCAACTCCAACCGTTCAAAAGTTATGGCCAAGATTATAGTTTTTCAAAAGTAGGTCAAACTCCAAGGCCAAGGTCAATATTGTTGGTACCCAAGGGAAGTTCTTTTCATAAGGATTACACAAGTGGAATATGAAAGCCATAGCATTAACTGTTCAAAAGTTATTGCGAGGTTAAAGTTTTTCAAAATTAGGTCAAACTCCAATGTCAAGGTCAAAAGATCAAATATTTTAGTAGCTAAGGGAAGGTCTTGTCACAAGGAATGTCCTAGTCCCAACCAATCAAAATTTATGGTCAGGGTTATAGTTTTTTTAAAAGTAGTCAAACTCCAATGTCAAGATCAAAAGGTAAAAAAAATGTACCTAAGGAAAGGTCTTGTGACAAGAGATATACATGTACATGTGAAGTATGAAAGCCCTAGCGCTACCCGTTCGAAAGTTATGGACAATGTTAAAGTTTGGTAAATTTTTGCAAAAGTGGGATAAACTCTAAGGTCAAAGTCAAAAGGTCAAATATACATGTATTGGTACCCAAAGAAAGATCTTGTCACAAGGAATCTGTGAAATCTGAGAGCCATAAATCCAACCAATCAAAAGTTATGGTCAAGGTTAAAGCAACATTTGCAAAAATAATGTATCTTTTTGCTCAAATAACCTAATTTACGTGTTTTTTCTAATGTGTGTGGTTTTGTTTCTTGACAAAGCTACATGTATTCACCAAATTCATAATTTAGTACATTTCGCATGAACAGTATGACTGAGCAACAGTAAACATACTGTAACACAAACGCTTTCATTTCAGTTTCTTTTTAGTAATTTTTAGTACTTGATTTAGTTAACATTCTGTCAGTGTTTGAATGGTCACAAAAATGGCTTGTTGGTACTCCAACAAAGAACAGAAGGTTACTTGTCTGACCTCAGATTCTACTACATTAGTCAGGGATTTTAGATTTTAAAATGCCACATTTCAGATCTAATTCGGAAGCTTGAAATGCATCCCAAAGCAATATTGATATCAGCAGAAAAGGCAAAACAATTTTAAAAAAAAACCAGTAGAGTTTTCGCTGTTGAAGATTTTCTGAATGGAAAAGCTTTGAAAAAGTTATAGCATTGACATTGTTTAGAATTTGTCCCATCACTATTCACAATATAACCCTCTGAAATGAATATTGTTATTTTACATGTTTCGACCAAGACTTATCTTTAAAATATCAAATAAATATCTGGGACAGAAGTATTTATTTTAAAAAATACAGGAATGCAATTGCAAAGTACAAGTCAAATAAATGTCAAGTTTTGGATTTAAAAATTGCGTTCAAAACTTAACAAGAACTAATCAGCTCATTGAATGTGAAAGATATTCATACTATTTATTATTTAATTAAATGTAATCAGCAAAAATCGACTGTCTGTTATTATTGGATGGTCTCCGACTTAAACCAAGTAAACCATCCTCCATTAACAACTTTACGAGATAATATACATATACGTTATCTATATCCTACATAAGGTGTTATCTAGAATGAGTCTTGACTTTATACTGATTAAAAAAGTCATTGTGACGACTATTTATAAACAACATCATGTGATTACAGAGAACTGTTACATGCATGTGATACTCGTGAGAGATTGTTTACAATTGTAAGACAACAATGAAGAAGATTTTGATTGCTGTAGACGGCAGCAAGGAATCTATGTTTGCTTTAAATGGTGAGTATGAAATTATCAAGTCAGACTCAAAGATGGAATATGGTGCTCGTTACTTGGACTTGTTTGGAAGGTATGCTTAGGAATCCAGGATTCAAAATATTGGTCAAAATGCATACTTTAATGTAGCTTCAGATCTGTAGCTCGCTGGTCTGAAAACATTAGGATGGACGACCAGACTGTACACCCGCTGTTTTTCGATTTATTTCACCGTTATTTAAGCTGTCATCTCAAAAATAATACTAAACGTGTTTCTAATCATATTCTTTTTCTACTTTCACAACGAAACTGTATGTACAAGTCATGCACTAAGCTCGTTAAACGAATTGGCTTGCATGCCACCCAAAATAGCAGTATAAATAGGCGAAATTTTCGATGGTTTCAATTTCAGGCCTAGAAGGGCTAGTAACAACGGTATGGGGGAATGTTTTGTTGTGAAAGTAACAAGAGAATATGATTTGAACACAAGGTTAGTTATATTTTGAGATAGCAGTTTTAAAAATATTCAGAGAAATAAATCTAGAAACAGCGCATTTTTTTAGCACAATAAATATACGTTTTTGTTTAGTGGCATTGTAGCTCTATGCCCCCCCCCCATTTTTTTCAAGACCAGGGAGCTACGGATCTGTAATTAACTAAAGATTTCTACTTTTGATTTTATTATATCCTAGAATACATGAAGAAAGTCCATAACGATGACAAGTATGCGGTGGTTATACATTGTGCACATTACAGCATTTCAAATCCCGAAGGTAAATTTGGAGATAGTCACTTAATAAACAAGTAAGAAAGACTGAATTTGATATATTATATTAATACGTAAAGAAACAATTATAAAGAAATCTAAATGAGTTTTAAATCCTTTAGAATTGGCCATCACCAGAGATGATGCCCAGACCATAAAGGATATTCTACAAAAGGACGAACAAAGAATTTCAAATGTGATTGAGCACATAGAGACGCTTCTGAAACAAAATAAGGTATAAATATATAACCTTTAAAGAATATTGCTTAGAAATTTGTTTTCTCTAAAAAGATATTCAGAAATTTATTATCTCATTAATCATTACCACTTTGATAGTGGTAATGAAGTATGAATGATCCAAGATACACGCATTGAGCTAGAATGTAATATTATATAATTTATGCACTTTTTATAGATCCCCGGCGAAGTGGTAAGACTTGAAGGAAAGCCCGAAAGTGCAATTATTTCTAAAGCAGAGGAGTTAAATGCATCACTGATTGTAATGGGATCACGTGGTTTAGGGACAATACGACGAACAATTCTGGGTAGTGTCAGTGAATTCGTGCTTCATCATTCTCATATCCCGGTCATGATCTGCAAGTGCGAGTCTAAAAATCCTCTAACCTTTTGACTGAAAATTGGTGCAAAACGGATTGTAGATATTCTCTAGATACGCAGACAACGACTGTTTTGTTTGACCCATTTTACTAAATCATTGTCCATAACCAAGAACTGTTTTTTTTCTAATATTTTTACGTAGAATATTGGGTCATAGTGTCATTTCTTTAATGAAATTTTTGAAGGTTAATTTAAAAAAGGAAAAGAAATAACTTTATTTTACACAAGTTTCTGTGGCAGTTCTCAATTAGACTTTTAAAAAATCTGCATGTCATGATGTGCACAATATATTTTCAAATTTCATAAAAATATTATTCTCGTTTAAAGTCATCATTTCGCAAGTTCTATGGTCGATACAATGACCCCGTCAGCAAGTACAATCTATCATTAAGTCGAATGCTGAGTGACGTTTTTCATACTAATTGTTAGGACATTATTTAAACATTGAATTGTCTACGGATTTTTTCGTTACAATGTGCACACGACAGGTGTGACCGATTGACAGGGGACGCTTACTCCTCCATGTCACCTGATCCCACCTCTGATGTTTAAAGAGGTCCGTCTTTGCTCTGCTCCCGATTTGTATTGTTTTAATGGACTTTTGAGCTTTATTACTGCTCGTTAATCTCCATATTTTATCATTGTTTGATGGATTTTTGAGCTTGAATACTGTCTGTTATCTCCATACATTTCAATAATTATTTATTGGATCAAAATCATGAAAATGGTACATGGAAATAAATTTCAAGTTATTTAGATAAAGTCGTGTTATTTGAAGGTACATCATTCAAAACTATGGAGAATGCACTTGACTATAAATTCTTGGTTTTAAAAAGTAATAATCTTTTCAAATACAACTGTCTTAGAATATGTTACTAACTTCAGTATATAACAAGAGGCCCAAGGGCCATAACGGTACCTGAATATAATACAACAATTCAGAGGATCCATAGAGTATAAAATAAACTGATAGATGAAGCTTTGATGCCCAAAAACAAGAGAGGTGATCAGGAACAACAAAAAGTGCTGTACTACTCATTGTTCCAATGTGGCCCGGGCAGTCTTGATACCCTCTGATGATAGAACTTCTGATCGATGTACCAGTCAAATTACCACTGTGGCCAAATCTACTTTCTCAGAATCACAGTCAGATATTGATTAAAAAAAAAAACCCTAGAAACTCTCCATCTTGTAGCATGGAAACTGTAGAATAGTCTATCCTTCCGTTTCCACTAAATCTGAGGTGATAAAAGAATTAGAAAGACTACATGAACAGTATGTTATGGTTCTTGCAGAACGCTGGGCTTTTAACAATGTCGTCTTTGTTTATAAGGCTCATCATTGTAACTGTATTTTAGAAAAAGTTAGTTTTAATTCTACCTATGAAATCCAACTTATATTCACAGTTCGCTTTCTAAGGATTGAATTCTTCAAAATAACATATCAATGTTTAATCGTTTAACATTCCAGTTAACCAAGGTGAGCTCAATCTATACTACCTATACTAGATTCCTAAACTAAAACTCCTTATAAACAAAGGTGGATTGTCGGGTCAAGCAAATGCTCTACCAAGCCTCTATCTTTACTCCTTAGAACTAAAAACATTAGACGCTGTAAAGGAGAAACTTCAGAGGTACTGTGCTACAGAATATTCTAGAAGTGGTGTAAATCAGATGTGGATTATCAAAAACTCAAAGGAACTTTAAAGAACTTTTTAAAGAACTTTTTAAACAAATTAAAATCACGATTTATTCTAAAAATTCAATAATGTCAAAACGTACGACTTTTCTACACTCTATACAACCATGATTCCCCACGATGATTAAAAAAACTAAGTTTTTTTGACATCATAGACAACTGCTTCTTCAATAAAAATGGAACTCGGAAATTTTCGTATTTTGTAATTGGTCATCAACAAAATTACTTCGTTAAAAATCAATTTGATTCTAAACAAAAGTACTCTAAATTGAAATTAAAAGAATGGTGGAGTTCCTCATTGACAACATTTAGACAGTCTTCGGAGACCAGGTCTTCCAACAAACTGTTGGAATTTTAAATGTGCACTAATTTGTGCTTCTTTGTTATCTGAGTTGATTTTCATTCCCATGAAGCAGAATTTTATAAAAAAAAAAAAAAAAAAAAAAATTCTATATGAGAAGAAGAAAACACTTGCTGTGGCCTTCAACTCAACAATCAGATATATCGATGAGGTTTTATCAATTAACAGAAGTTACTTCCATTCATATGTCGACTCTATACATCCCAGTTTACTGGTATGTAAAAATCTCATGGCGATAATTGTTGCATGGTTTTTATATTGTCATTCTATAGAATATTTGTCCCCGGGTGGCAAAAAGTCCTGAAATGTTGAAGTAACGTTTGATAGACATACCACTTTTGCAGTGAAGGGCCATCTAAAACACCATTTGGTGACGACTATTCTTGTAATTATGTCGTGGTATTTGTGAAAAGGCCCTTGATTGCAATCACAGAATGTGAAAATGTTGCCATCAAATCAAATGTTATCAGATGCTATTTAAAATTTGGATTGATTACCAAAGATGAACGATCTTGAGATAAAACAATGATGCTGTGTCATTATAGTTTACATATCATGTAAGGGGTATACTCGACGTGTCATTGATATTTACACAATAGATAACAATAGCAAATCGGTATATTACATAGTGTTAATTCACTCGCATAATGAAAACATCTCTATTGAAATAACAATGAAGAAAGTTTTGATAGCTATGGATGGTAGCAAAGAGTCTGTGTATGCTTTCAATCGTGAGTACAAAACTTTTAAAATTAGGCAAGCTATTGTTAAATAAGTTTATGAAACTAGGTTATCAACAGTCTGATTTATGTTAAGTCAACAGTTTGCTAATTGTATGGTTTTTACATTGACCTTGTTATAAATACAATCTATCGTTAAGTAAAAAGTTGACTGACATTTTTCATATAAATTGCTAGGCCATTATTTTCTCACCGAATTGTTTGGGGATTTTTCCGTTTGCCCGATTATAACAATAAGTTGGCCAGTCGACAGAGTAGTATGTAAAGGACATCTCTGTCAAGAATTGCATTTTTTTCCTTTCACTTAGTTAACATTTGTTAGAATATCGATTTCACTTTGAGGGGGCACAACCATACATTTTCAGTCAAGTATCAAAATTCCTTGACAAGCAAAAAAAAAAAAAGAAGAAGAAGAAAAGTCACCAGAGGTTATTATTGAGGGGTAACAAGCATATAGTAGCTATGTTTCTATATTATTCTATATATCGGCAAAATTCCTACGGTAATGATAATGTTTATTAATAAAATTAATGTCAATAATGGGGGGGGGGTCATTCAAACGTCATTTATTTGTGAGAAAAGGAAACTCAGGTGAGTTTTATCACATTTTGATCTTTCAAGCAAATATCTAGACAATGTAGTTTTACTTCTCATTTAATGTTTCCTTTTTATGCCCCCGTATTGAAGATTCGGGGGTATATAGTTTTTGCCCTGTCCGTCCGTCTGTCTAGCTGTCTGTCTGTCCGTCTGTTTGTCCGCAGAAACTTTAACCTTGTCCATAATTTTTGATTGGTTGGAGGCTATGGCTTTCATATTTCACATGTGTATTCCTTGTGACAAGACCTTTCTTTGGGTACCACCATATTTGACCTTTTGACCTTGGAGTTTGACCCAGTTTTACAAAATTTTACCAAACTTTAACCTTGGCCATAACTTTTGAACAATAGGTGCTAGGGCTTTCATATTTCACATGTGTAATCCTTGTGACAATACCTTCTTTAGGATACCAACAACTTTGACCTTTTGACCTTGACCTAGGAGTTTAACCTACTTTTGGAAAACTATAACCTTGGTCATAACTTTTGAACGATTGGTGCTAGGGCTTTCATACTTCACATATGTAATCCTTGTGACAAGACCTTTCTTTGGATGCAACAACTTTGACCCTTTGACCTTAACCTTGGAGTTTTACCTACTTTTGGAAAACTTTAACCTTGGTCATAACTTTTGAACGATTGGTGCTTCGGCTTTCATATTTCACCTGTATTTCTTGGGAGAAGGCCTTTCCTTGGGCACCATTAATTTTGACCATTTGACCTTGATGTTTGACATACTTTTGAAAAAACTTTAACCTTTTCCCTATCTATTCAATGATTGCTGCTAGGTCTTTCATATTTGACAGGTTTATTTCTCGAGACTAGACCTTAATTTAGGTACCAACATATTTGATTTGCATTTGAGAAAGTTTAACCTTTGCTATAAATTGCCATACGGGGGCATCAGTGTTTCACAAACACATCTTTTTTCCAATTACAATTACATACATGTATATTCAATTCTAAAACGCTGATATGTTCATTTCTGAAATGCTGATATCTAAAGCAAGCTTTTTGTGCATATTTCAATCTTTTCATGGTATGTATACATATTTGTAAGAAATTTGTAAGAAATCAAAATTTTCAGAATACGTTGAAAAAATACACAACACAAACAACTACGTGATATGTGCTCACTGTGCCGAATACAAAGAGGCGGATCCTGGAGGTAAGTCTGGCGGATCTGATTTACAATAAATTAAATAATTGCCGAAGTACATTTTAATACAATTGCGTTATCGCCTCAGACAGGAAATAAATCACTCTGGATACTTTTTTTCAAGGGACTTTCTAAATGTCTTATTAATGGCCGAATCATTTGAGATAGATTAAAATATCAATATAATTCTTATTTAACATTTGCTTTATTTGTACAGTCGCTTGATATTCTTCCCATTCCTTACATTTCTATTTTTACTCCATACAAGAATGAGAAATTCATGAAAATTCGTCAACATTATATCAAGAACAAAAAATGAAATAAAACAAATGTGCAAAGGTTTTAATTTATAGGATCATTAGATAAACCCTGGTGAAATTATAAAGTTGCTTAACCATTGACCTGGAGCGGCATTGCTACGTCATTTTAAACGTCACATGAGCCTTGGATTTTCCTCATGTTGAAACGATGGGGAAGCGTTACCTCTTTTTGTCATCATCTATAAATCAGTCTCCCTCTCTTCTTTAATGATTCTTTTGAAAAATTAAATGTGTGTTGCTGCTACCCCAATGTAAAAAAAAAGTGTCATATACAGCCCTGACTAGCATCATGCAACTTACCAACTTTTGCACCGCAGGTTAACGTTGTGTAGTCAGTAATAAATGATGGTTGTCTGTTGCCATCGTTTTCACTTTTGTTGAATAATAAATTTATAAAAATAAAAATATTTTTTAAAAAAGTAAACATTGTTTTTATCTAAGCAGGTCACTTAGTCTGGATAGTAGTTCTTGGCGTTACACAATTTTTTTTTAGGTATGCTCGCTGCTCCGCCTTGACGTCAAAATTCATGTTGCCGTCGTAATTTTTTACACCATGATGAAAATTATTTATGTTCTTCGTATTTATGGTCTAAATTCTATCAAACTTGCATACAATGAAGTCAAAATAAAATTGTAACAATAATATACATAATTTGAAAAATGTTCGCACTTATTACTGGTCCACCGGAACTTTATGCAATTATGTTCATTCTCCGATTTCGTAACTGCGCCGGGTAAACCTACATCTATTCATTGATATACCATAGAAAAGAAAAAATAAAAAAAAATCCTGAAATATTTCTTGTTTTTATTTATTATTAGCGTTTGTTAAACGTATTAAGCCAATTTTCACCAAAAGACGTTCATTAGAAAGGAGAGTAAACAGAATGTCTCAATAATTTCCGAACAGGCCTCTTACATGTATGTAGATATCCTAGCTATATATAAAGGTCATTTTAAAATAAATATAAACACAAATGTTTTTATGTTTTTTCTTCAAGTTCTCTCCATTGCACAAGTCGGTTACGATGTTATTGAAGGATTGTTAGAGGAAGACGAAAAGCGTATACTGTCAATTTTGGACAATATAGAGAGCTTGCTCATATCCAACCAGGTAAGAACACGGGGTGGGGGGGGGGGAGGGGGGGCAAAAGCGTTTTGTACTATCACCAGTTCTTTACCTTCTTCATTCTACGGGGGACAATCACATGCCAAAATCATCTATCGCCTGTATATTTTCATCACAATATTTATATTAATGTTAATTTTATAAAATTCTTAGTTCTTCTATAACACTCTCCAGAACATTTCAATATCTAAATGTAATTTAAATTACATTTTAGGAGGGAAAAGGGGGGAGGGAGTCGGAAATGAAAAATTCCAAAGTAAAAATAATTACGTGTAAGAATTTCTTGTTTATTTTCAGAAAATAGCTCTTGATAAAAATTTGATAACTCACAATAAAAACAATATTAATAAAAGTTTCATACTGATTGAGTAAGGGGTACTCTACAAATATATTATTTCTGAATACAAATGAATTTAACTTTGTACTAGTACGTTAAGGAAAATCGCTGAGGTTAAGGCTACATGAGAGCAAAGTCTTCAGAAAATCACTGTTAAAACATAAACTGTTAATTTTCGGTCTTTCCAATGGCAGTAGGGCGGAGAGTACATGTATATAGTGTTCTAAAGGTCTCGCTAGTGAGCAAGCTTTTCTGGTAGTTCAGTAGGGTCTCCATTCATTTTTTTATTTCCACAATAAGTTAATTCAATACGTACAAAACATTTTCATTATATAATTTCATCGTTTTAAAAGATGAAATGTGAAAATAACGAGCAGAAATCATGCTCAAACGTTCATTGAAACTATACAAATTGTAAGCAGAGCAAACACGGACATCTGAAAACATCAGAGGTGGGATCAGGTGCCATGGAGGTGTAAGCATTCTTTGTCGACCGGTTACACCCGCCGTGTACCCTTTATCATGTCCGTACTCAATTCAGTATGAAAATACTAGCCTAACAATTTGAAGGAGAGACGTCGGTCAACATTAGTACACCTAACAATAGATTGTATTTGTAAAAATGATTATTGTATCAACCATAGAATTTGCTAAATGTTGACTTTAAACAAGATTGAAGATACCCTTGTAACATCAACTTATTTTTTTGTAGTCTGCCTCTTTTCAGAAATTGAAGAACATGGTATTATATTTCGAATCAACTTGTAGACATAAATCCCATATGCAGGTGATAGTGATAATGATCACTGCTATATTAATAGAGAAAGTCGACAACAGACGTTAATCATAAAGTTTGTCATCCATGTCTTTCTCTTGTAAAATATCCAGATATGAAGCAGATGTGTCCGACTTCGTGTGCACGACTTTCTTTTTTCAAAGTTGAGTACCTACTTGTAAGATAACTATATTTTTATTACCAGGTAGAAGGAGAGGTGGTCAGGCTGGAAGGTGATCCCAAAAACGCAATCATTTCAAAAGCGACAGAAGTAAACGCAATCATGATAGTGATTGGGTCACGTGGGCTTGGAAAAATCAGACGCACGCTTTTCGGAAGCGTCAGTAACTTTGTAATTCATCATTCTCCTGTGCCCGTGGCCACTTGTAAATACGAAATATGATTTATTTTTTATTTTAAATAATGTAATTTAAAAGAGGTATAGCGTATCGCAAACTACTAGTTTGAAGTTTTTTAATTAATTTTGTTCATTTTTTTTGTCTTGTTTTATTTCTTTTCTTCTTTTTTTAAATTGCTTGTTAATTTCTTGTTCTTTGCTTTGATTGTATTTTATTTGACAATAAAATTATTTAAAATGCTGAAATTATAGTATTTGAATATTCTTTTAATTTTCTTGTTTTGTATTGGCCCATTTAACTACATTGAAGTAAGATCTTACTCCCACTATGAAGATTACTTTGAATTTATTGGACGTCATTTTATTTTATAAACCCCCTGATTTGGTTTGACTTCTACAACGGAACATCAGTAAAGTTGATTTAAGACTATTTTTGTCCAATGTCTATGTGATTTGTGATTTATTTCTCCGTCTTGCGAACTTTATACTTGTTATTTTTTCTCTTCTGTTCATATTAATCACTACAAACAAAGATAAATACCAGGATGAAGAAAATGTTCTACATATGTACCAAGTCTCTTTCTTTAGTCCTCACGACAATAATGACAGCAGTGGAGGAGAAACTTCAGCTGTACTCTGCAACAATATACGGTATTCGAAAAGTGATGCTAATCAAACGTGGATACTAAAAAAGAAAACTAACAGAACTTATGGAAAATGCGAAATAAAAAAAATGCAAAAAATCAATAGCAGCAAAATATACGACTTTTTAATATTTTATACAACCATTCCTCACGATAAAATACACAGCAGTCTTTTTAACATCATAGAAAACTGCTTCTTGAATAAAAATGGAACTTTATATTTTCTAAATATTGTGATTGCTCATCTACAATCTTCCATATTTCCACTTACAACTTACAAGTACTCAGTACTCTTAAGTTGATATTAAAAGATGCTTAAGTTCCTCATTGATAATATCTTTATGAATCTTCCAACAATTTGTTGGAATTACCATGGGTACTAATTGTTCCCCTTTATTAACAGACCAGTTTTTGTAGTTTTAGTAAAGTAAGCAGAATATATATATATATATATATATATATATATATATATATATATATATATATATATATATATATATATATATATATATATATATATATATATATATATATATATATATATATATATATATATATATATCTTAATCACATGTATGCATGCTAGCTAATGCATACGATATTCATGCCTCCCAGATGCTTCGATACCTCCGTAGGAGCAATTTCTAAACTAAAGCAGGCCACTGACAAATAGGTCGATGTTTAAAGGGTATTAAAAAAATTCGTTTAAAGTAAACATTTTCTAAATTCTATGGTCCATACAATGACCTTTTTGACATTTTCAATCTCCCGTTATTTGAATTTTGATGTCTACACCCACTTCATTCTACATTACAAATAATTCCACTTCTAATGTTTTTAGAGGTTCATGTTTCTTCTACGGTTAATTTGTATTGCTTTTTTATTTGACTTTTAAGCATGATTATTTTTTTTTTCATTTTTATTGAGGAAGCAGTTGTCTATGATGCCAAAAAGTCGATTCTGTCTCTGATTTATCGTGAGGAATGGTTGCAAAAAGCATTGGTAAATCAAACGTTTTCATGTTATTGATTTTTGACATTCGAAGTGCATGTTTGAGGGTTGTCCCAAAAAGTCGTAGACAGGGAAAACGTTTTAGTTTCTATTTACTAATTAAATTTCTTTTTTGTCATAGTAAAAGTAACATTTTATGATCATGAATTTCAATTTCTATAGTAATGACACATTTAGTAAGGAAACATTGTAAAAATGAAGAAAGCATTTGTGCATATCGGCGCACGAAAGCAAGCGTTTTTAAGTTTTGCTTAACAAGCGTCTCTTAAGCATCTCATTGATTTTTTCAAACTGGCAAACCACTCTTGACTGAGGGGATAATTAAATTTCACCAATGTCCACAAACAGTACTCTACTTTTTATAAGCCTGACTATTTTTAGTACGGAGGTAAAAACTGTCCTTGAATCTATTATGCCATTTATAAACAACTTCTCTGCTAACGTTCTATATACTGTGCAATCTCACTTCTTTATCTTTTTCCTTCTCTGAAATGGACAAACCACATTTGAAACATTTCTTACATCCCCTTCCGCTGGTAACGCGTTTGACGACATCATTTGCAGCAAACTCAATTCCAACAACAGTTAATATTTTGACGGGACAAGTCTTTTACCACAATGTACATGTAACTCGAGTTTCCTCAAACACAGATCTTAAGACGAGTCTTAATACCGTCCTTATTTTATAAGTGTTTATCGTGAAGAGAGGCAAACGTCAATATTAAATGATTCAAGTAGGAAATTAACGATTGAAAAACATGTATGTCATATGAGCAGAATTATTTTTAATTTGAAAAATCTTCATTTCTAATCTATTTTTGATTTTTATTGAGGATAAAATTTCCAAACAAAATGAAAATGAAATCTATTCTTGATAACATATATATTTTATTTTTGAAGAATTGTGATATCTCTTTTGCAGAATGATAAAAGATTCCGAGATATCCCGTTTTGACTTTATGCGCGAAATTTACATTATAAAGAAAAAGATCTTTCAAAATATAATCACTCGGAGCTCCTCGGGTGGCTCGTGCCTCGCACACTAACCTCGAATATGAAAGGTGTTCTACCATTTTACATACACTAGACAAAATTGCTAACGCACCACCAAAAAAATTTAATATTTTACATTTCAAAACTTGTTTATGATGTACTTGATATATAATTATGTCACTTAAATAAAAAAAAATGAGGCATTTAAATGTCTTTACTGATAGATAACTACAATGTTTACTGAAGCGTAACCATTTCACAGAAAAAATTAAAATCGTGTCCATACTTTTTCGGAAGAAAAAATTTCTATTTTTTCTTTGTGTTTGTGTTCTTTATATTTGTACTAATTAAAAACTCAGAAAAAAAAGTTTCACCGTATGCCTCGTTTGACCTTAGAAGAGCGTGTTAAAGCAGACAGTATGGTGGCTGCAGGAGGTTCCTTTGGAGAGATTTGTAAAAAATGAAAACAATTAAAAGATTATGAATTCCTTTAATGAGAAATTGTTGCAAATAGATTAACAAAAATTAAAATGTTTACTATAGATAGCCACGGCATTAAGTAAGCAGCACACGATAACTTGAAAATTGTACCACAAAATTGGGTCAGCCGGAAGTTGGGTGGATTTGCTATGGGCACCAAGGCACTGGATGACTACAGGCGATATGATAGTCAATAGCTGTATATTATTTTATTTTTAACTGGGAGACTGCTTCTGTGGCATCCTCACGGACCACCTTTGGTGATCACCAACTTTATATCTGGGCAAAAACGGTGCGCAGTGCACGTCGGGAAATTAGTTTTCGAGAAAGAAGGTCATTTAAGGGTCTTGTCATGACATAAAGACATTTGTCAATCCCACTGTTTTGGAAAAGATGGCATATTTTATATACTATTACCGATCGGGCAAATGTTCAATTCACAAATAAGTCATGACATAAAGACATTTGTCGATCCCACTGTTTTGGAAAAGATGGCATATTTTATATACTATTACCGATCGGGCAAATGTTCAATTCACAAATAAGAATAACGAGTGGTGCGTTAGCAATTTTGTCTAGTGTATATACAATCATGTGATCCAATACGAAATTCCTCCAAATACTATGCTTTTGAAATCTGAGTTACTTTGTGGTACGCCCAACACTATGTTTCTGCTTTCAAAGACTACGAACAGAGGGTAGTAATCAAAACCAATATACAAGAAAGAAATCGACAAGATAGGAAATTTTGTGAACTTTATGCGGAGCGAAATATGAAGTGAGTCAAAAGGCAGTTCTGGTGAAGAAATGCATCGATTTGATGCATATTCCCCCACCAATCACATCCGAGGTTTGTATGGAGCGTAGCGGAGTCAGGCGAGGATTGCCGATTGATATATATTGTAAGCTCCCCACGGATGGCCTTTCATAAATGGGGGTTACAAAATATAACATTATACTGTTCACACACAAGTACGGTGGTACTTCAGTCTTGGTTAACTTCAGTATTGTAAACAGAACGAGAGTTTCTCAAAGGTAACAATAATAATTTATTTATAAGCACATTTCAGCAATAACAACATCAGGTATAAAACATGAGTTTGGTCGGTGGCGTCTACCGTACAGGGCTATGGTATAAATGGGGCGGGGCACCAAGGTGACCGTCAACTCAAATATTAAATAGTAATTAATAATAATGTTTTCAAATAATAAATAGTTGTCCAGTGTGTTGGGAGATAATTGTCTTAATTAATTCTCACCTAATATTGGTTGATGGAAAGCTGGAATTTGAATTTAGCGCTAAGAGAACTTAGACAAGATTATCTGCCATTATTGGCTGATCGACTCATATATATAGACTTTCTGAGATGCGACGTGATAGGGCTTAACCAATGAAATAAGTGTACGGTGACACTCGACCAATCGTGGCAATGTACGGCAACGCACAACATGAGATTTGCCGTACAGTGCCAAACAAGTTTGCCATACACAAAGAATAAATAATTAAAAACAAGCTGTGATTTAACAAATACACATGGATTAATTTAATATGACTATGCTGGATGTTGTCCTTATCTGTAAGTAAATATTCAGTTCCTAGAAATATGTATAATTGTCATAAAAACATTGAATCGTATAGCAGACAATGTCAACTAAGTACTTTCAAATACGAGTACAATGATAAGCTATTAAATGTACAAATGACTGCCTGATTATGATAAATAGTTTGTAACAATTATTCTAGCAATAATTTGAGTTATTTCAAATAATAAACAATCAATAAAATCACAGAGATACAAAATGCGAAACTCTGGCTAGTATGTACGTTACATCAACAAAGATGGCAGCGGGTTGCATACAAGAGTATCCAGAACAAATAAATCGCGCTATTACAGTTCTTTAAGATTATAACATCTCCCCCCAGTTCATGAATAATGACAAGAAAACATGTAGTTTTAAAAGGTATGTGACCGAATTCATGAGATACAGAATTAAATTAGAAAATAGATTATTCACATATCAGCATGTGCTATAAATAGAATAAATACATAACATGTTTTTAAAAACAGAAACTGTCTTACAAACAATTGAAATAATGTTTCTGCAAAGATGCAATCATAAAATACACAATAGAATACAGTACAATGGCAGAGCTGAATGTTGTCAAAATTATATATATTACATTACATTAGGTCTTACAATATATAATTCCAAGAAAAATCGTTCTACGTTACAGATATCTTTATTTTTAGAAAGAGATATCTCTCTTATTGAAAGAGATACTCTCCTTTTGTAACAGAGATGTATTTTTTTTAATTATCAGAGAGATTTCTCTTAAACAGTGATACCTCTCTATCTTGCAGAGTTAATATCTATCTATGAAAAGGGATATCTCCTTTTGATAGAGATATCTCTAGAAGACTGAGAGGTATCTCTTTATAAGTACTAGTAGATATAACCTAACAGTAAGAGATACCATTTACAGTAAACATTTCTTTTAATCAAGGAGACATGATTGCAGTTTTCAGAATAAATGGTAAATTAAATTGTCTTTTATTTGGAAAGAAACCAGTGATATTTCAAAAGATAGCTTAAAGTTTTTGTATTCTTCTGTATATCTTCCAAACCATCAGTATAACTATTTGGCGTCATATAAAATTTGTTACTGGATATCGCATCGACAGAGAACGCCCCCAATACAGTACTTTCAGTACTTAGATTATAACCCATTATCACATTTCAGACCCCGGATATATAAACAAACCGTTAAAATGGCATTGTATGACCTGTGCATCGTTGGGGCAGGTATGATGGGGTCTGCCGCGGCCCGTCATGCTTCAGAGAAATCAGGGGTAAAAGTTTGTCTCATAGGCCCTCAAGAACCAAAGGTAAGTTAAAATTAACTTTTATCAATGTCAATAACTTTTCTCGTTGTCAAATAAGGCCATTCCAAGTTTATTTCATGATTAGTGTTCAGGTGTTCAATAAAAAATCAAAAGCCTATCTTGCTATCACAAAGAAAACTCAAATTAACAGAAAAAATACAGCATTAAAGATAAAGTCTACATTATTATCATTCGAGAATTTCCTTTATATTGTAACAAAATGATTAATAGTATTACAAATTAATCAACTTATCCCATTTTTTGACACAGAATATAAAAAAAGAATGTAAAAGAAGAATAATATAATATTATTATAATAAGCAAACATAAAAACTAAGTGATTTTTTTGTAAGTTTGTATTGTATTGTTTTGAAATTAAATTTTATACCTATAAAACCAATCCGTCCGCGAGGAACAACAATCTTGGAATGGCCTAATTGCGAGTACTTGTCTGTTATATATATATATATATATATATATATATATATATATATATATATATATATATATATATATATATATATATATATATATATATATATATATATATGAGATGAGATATAGTGATGGGGGTATCCGTCCGAAATATACATTGAGGGTATCCATCTCTTATTTCAAAAATCCCAACTCCTCTATGAGACTTTCACAGAATCTTTATTGCATAGTGTCATTAATTGTTTACTAGATCGATTTTCGAAAAATGAAATTATAATTCAAGCCGTCAGTAGAAACCATAAATTACCTATATTGATATGCAACAATATTCAGATTAGGGAAATAGTTAGTGGAAACGAAGTATTTGGAACACATTATGATGAAGGAAGGATCATGCGGGCCACCGCAACAAGTCCATTGTGGGCAGATCTTGCCAAACGGTCGGAGGAGAGATATAGGGAACTAGAGAATCTTTCGGGTACCTTTATTAATTTTATAATTGTTTAAATTAGGTATCTAATACGCATTTATCTAATGTTGTAAAATTAGGTATCTGATACGTATTTATCCAATGCTTTAAATTTTCCTGATCGCCTCAGTTCGATAGACGATATAATTAGCTTTTCTTCTTTTTTTTTAAATTTTGTGTGTCCTTTTCATATACTTTTTTTCTCCATCATTGAAGGTGTACAGTTTTACCACGAAATAGGGGCACTAACAGTTGGCACAAGATATGGACAGTTTATTGGGAGGACAAAATCCAGTCTGAAAGGGGGTCCAAAAGGTTATGATAATGTCGAAATCCTTGCCGCAAAAGAACTTAATGATAAATTTCCGTATCTTACTTTCGCAGACAATGATGAAGGCATCATGGAAAAGAGCCGGGCTGGCTATATAAATCCAAGAAAGATGGTTATGGCTCAAATAGTAGTTGCTGTCAACCAAGGATGTGACGTCATTCGCGATATTGTACTCAATATTGAAAAATTACAGGGGGTATATAAACTAACCACAGAAAGAGGGAAAATTATTTGGACAAAGAAGGTTCTATTAGCAACCAATGCTTTTACGGGGATGCATCAACTTTTAAAGAATCCCGTGTCATACAAAGCCATGCCACAGACCGTGACACTTGCCGCCGTCAGTGAAAACACAGCAAAGCGGCTAAGGTATAGCTGCAGTAATGTAGCCCTCTCCGATTTTTTTTTTTTGGGGGGGGGAGGGCTACAACTCCTTAGGATCTCCATAATGGTGCAAGTGCGGGAGTGATTCACTACCGCACAGATTTCGGCTCAAAGTATCAGTAAATGGGTATTTTATTAACATATCTTACCTGAACTCATAAAATGTAGTTATGCAAGATATGAATTGATCCAAAAATATACAGAACAATCCGTATATCGGTTATTTTTCGCGTATATCAACATCACAACTTGAATTTATCCGCCATGTTTACTGACCTTGATCGATTTTACAATGAGAATTCGGGATCTAGGGGAGCGGATCGTTTAGGATTTCCCTTATTTTAAGCATAAATATCACTGTTTATGAAAAAATATCGCATGGAATGCTTTTATTTATCCATGTTTAGTGATATCTTTCAACACAAACATTTATCAACACCGACATTTACTTTATCAAGTGATTCTAAATTTCAAGCGCAAGTCTCTGTACATCACGCGAGAACTGTCATGGCTTCTGAGGAGAGCGACTGGTAAACATGCAGATTTATTTTACTTGGTTTTCGCGTATAAAGGGTATGATGTTGATAGTGAATAAAAATTCCGTCTTATTGGAAGTAAGTTGAATGCAAAAACATTTATTTTGCCTGCAGTCCCCTGTATCTAAAAAATATATTTGCACCATTACGGAGATGCAGTGGAATTGTAGCCCTCTCCTGAAAATATCAGATTAAAAAAAATCGGAGAGGGCTACATTATTGCAGCTACTAAGGTATAGTAAAGTTTTTTGAATGGCGACTGAGGTATAGTACAGTTATTGTAAGACGGTTGAGGTATAGTACAGTTATTGTAAGGCGGCTGAGGCATAGTATTTTTTTTGTAAGACGGCTGAGGTATAGTACAGTTATTGTAAAGTGGTTGCGGTATAGTACAGTTATTGTAAGGCAGCTGAGGTAAGTACAGTTATTGTAAGACGGCTGAGGTATAGTACAGTTATTGTAAGACGGCTGAGGTATAGTACAGTTATTGTAAGGTGGCTGAGGTGTAGTACAGTTATTGTAAGGTGGTTGCGGTATAGTAAAGTTATTGTCAAGCGATGGATATATAGTACAGTTATTGTTAGGTGACTGAGGTATAGTAGTTATTGTAAGGCGGCTGAGGTATAGTACAGTTATTGAATGACCGTTGAGGTATAGTACAGTTATTATAAGACGGGTGAGGTACAGTACAGTTATTGTAAGGCGGCTGAGGTTCAGTACAATCATTGTAAGTTGGCTGAGGTATAGTACAGTCATTGTAAGGCTGGGATATAGTACAGTTATTGTAAGGCGGGTGAGGTATAGTACAGTTATTGTAATTCAGCTGAGGTATAGTACAGTTATTGTAAGGTGGTTGAGGAATAGAACAGTTATTGTAAGGCGGTTGGGGTATATATAGTAAAGTTATTGTAAGACGGCTGAGGTATAGTACAGTTATTGTAAGGCGGTTGGGGTATAGTACAATTATTGTAAGGCGGTTGGGGTATAGTACAGTTATTGTAAAGTGGTTGGGGTATAGTACAGTTATTGTAAGACGGCTTAGGTATAGTACAGTTATTGTAAGGCGGTTGGGGTATAGTACAGTTATTGTAAGGCGGTTGGGGTATAGTAAGTTATTGTAAAGTGGTTGGGGTATAGTACAGTTATTGTAAGGCAGCTGAGGTATAATACAGCTATTGGAAAGCGGTTGAGGTTTAGTACAGCTATTGTAAGGCAGATGAGGTATAGTACAGTTATTGTAAGGCGGCTGAGGTTCAGTACAGTCATTGTAAGTTGGCTGAGGTATAGTGCAGTCATTGTAAGGCTGGGATATAGTACAGTTATTGTAAGGCGGGTGAGGTATAGTACAGTTATTGTAAGGGTTAATGAATTTCTTGCTTTCGGATATTGTTGTTGTGTAGGTAATTTTAATGAAGAAAAATGTCTACAAAAAATAACAAAAAATATATATCAATATTTTTCTCGTGAATATCAGACCATATTCACCACCATAAGAGTCATTTACTGTATAATATTATCAATGAGTAAGATACGTTGTGAAGTTGTTGTGTACGTTGCTTTATGCCTTAAAGGGGCTTGGACACAGGTTTGATGTATTTTCTAAAATTTTTGATACAATATCATGACTTATATTCTTAGTGCATTTCAGACTGATATATTATAAAAGTGCATTTACAAACTTCTTTAATATGAAATATTGAAAACTACTCACATCCGTGCACTTTCAAGAAGTATAATTTATTCTTAATATTTAAGAAAACTTGAAAATTTGTTGTTGTGTGTTAATGACAAATATATAACTATAATCCAGAAAAGTTATGGTAGAAATGTTAGCAGAAGCAACATACCAGTGTTGTCAGTTCGTGTTCAGTAATGTGTGCTGAGTTAACAAATTGAACACACCCGGTAAAACGTAAACATTAATAACAACAGAGCTCGAGTCGATGTTTACAAACACATATGTTTGCCCTTATGCTATGAAGGATGTCGTTGTCATTAAATTTTAAGAATGTAACCTAAGAATTTAAGCCTTTAAGTTCAAATCATTAAACTAGTTATTTTTTTTTAATAGAAATAGAAATTGAAAACTGTAAACAAAACGGAAATGCAACTGTGTCCAGGTACATGTACCTTTAATGCGCAAGATATGAACTTAAGTCACTGAATAATTTTCAATTTACTGAGGAGAAAAGAATCATCTGTTTTGAAATTTGTGTTTTATGATCTTTCTAAATCTTTGGGGTTTTTTTTTTGTTTGTTTTAGCCAGATGCCAGTTGTTTTATATGAAGGCAAAGGTGGCGAGTCATGGTCTAAAACTTATCCTAGGGACTCTAGTGACAACATCCAGTTTTATTTATTGCCTCCGATTAAATACCCAGATGGTAAGTCGTGTCCGTTGTTCTATTAGAGGAACAATATTTATAAGGAACTGTTGCACCTTTTTTTCACTATTTAGGGAAGTACTATATAAAGATTGGCCACTCAGATGACATTTTGAAAGGCAGTTTGGAATTGACGGATATAAGAAAATGGTACAGTGGAAAAGGAGATGAAGAACTCGAGGAAGAACTCTTCAAACTCTTAGATACCATATTCCATGGTAAGGGCGAAAGTTAAATTTAACAATGTTGCCGAGTTGAGTTTTTATCCATCAGTATAACAATCTGCTACTTATAGGTGTTCGTTTTGAAAACCATCATGGTGATGCATGCGCAACTATGGTAACACCAGGTAAACAACCTTATATAGACCTTCTTTCACCCACGCTAGCCGTGGCTCTTGGTGGAAACGGGTATGCAGCGAAATCAAGCGATGAAATCGGCAGAATTGCTGCAGATCTGATACTTACATCAAAATGGACGTATGATATTCCCAAGGAAAATTTCAAAGTGAAGTTTCATGTACCATCGAAGCTTTGATACCCCCAAGATGAAAGATCGGGGAAACCCTAACAAAAAATACTAGAGTTAACTATATATTATACTTTACTATAGTTAGATTATAGTGATAACTTTGACACTATGAAAACTTTGATTTACTATAGTGATAACTTTGAGACTTTGATTTATTATAGTGATAACTTTGACACTTTGATTTACTAAAGTGATAACTATGAAAACTTTGATTTACTATAGTGAACACTATGAAAATTTGATTTACTATAGTGAAAACTTTGATTTACTATAGTGATAACTTTGAAAACTTTGATTTACTATAGTGATAACTATGACACTATAGTGATCACTTTGGAAACTTTGATTTACTATAGTGATCACTATGACACTATAGTGATCACTTTGAAAACTTTGATTTACTATAGTGATAACTTTGACACTTTGATTTACTATGGTTAACTATAGTTAACAATAGTAAACTATAGTTAACTATAGTATTTTTTGTTAGGGAAGTGCTTAACCCCCTCTTCCCCCGCAAACAGCTACTCATGTATAAGAGTTTACTCTGGAATTTTCTACTAAGTCTCAAACTTATTTGGATATGTTCGTAAATGCTGCTTTATTTCTTGTTTTAAAATATGAACTAGATCAGTGAACATATTTAAAATATAAATGTAGTTATAATAAAAAAAAATGCATTGCCTCGTATTCATTTGAACACTTTCAGGATTCTTGACAAATAGATGACTACATCAACTGAGTATTTTCTATTAACCATTTTAAATTTGATAAAAATCATATACAAATCTATCAATAATTTGAACTTTTGGTAAGCTGTGATATGCATATACATGTATTTACGTCACACCGAAATGTAAAACTGCGACGTAGAACAAAAGTTAGCAAGTGGAAGATCGGAAATGTTTCATGTAGTTTGCTAATGCAAAAATTGTTTCCTATTTTTTGGTCACCTGAGTCACCTATTGCTTTCTGTTTTCATCCGTCTTTCGTGCGGGTGTGCGTTGTGCGTAAACTTTTCACATTTAAAACTTCTTCTCAAGAACCACTGGGCCAGTTTCAACCAAACTTGCCACAAAGTATCCTTAGGTAACGGTGATTCAAGTTTGTTCAAATGAAGGGCCAAGCCTTTTTCCAAGGGGAATTAATTATGATTTAGTGAAAAATTAATGGCATCTTCTTCTCAGGAACCACTGGGCCAAGAAAGATGAAACTTATATGGAAAAATCCTCAGATAGTGTAGATTCAAGTTTGTTAAAATCATGACCCCTGGGGGTAGGATGGGGTCACAATGGACGATCTAAGTTTTACATAGGAATACAAAGGAAAATCTTTAAAAATCTTCTTCTCCAAAACTACTTGGCCAAGAAAGATGAAACTTATGTGCAAACATCCTCAGGTAGTGTAGATTCAATTTTGTTCAAATCATGACCCCCTGGAGTAGGGCGGGGCTACAATGAATGATCAATTTTTTACATGGAAATACATTGGACAAATCTTCTTATCCAAAACTACTAGGCCAAGAAAGATGAAACTTATGTGAAAACATCTTCAGGTAGTGTAGATTCAAGTTAATTTTTTTTTTAATCATGATCCCCGGGGATAGGGTAGGGCCATAATGGACAATGAAAGTTTTACACTGGAATACGTAGGAAAAATCTTGAAAAATTCTTTTCTCAAAAACAGCAAAACCATATTTGGTTATATTTACATGGAAGCATCCTCAGATAGTATAGATTCAAGTTTGTTCAAATCATGACTCTGGGGATAGAGTGGGGCCACAATGGATGATCAAGGATTTACACATGAAAAAATATTTAAAAAAAAAAATCTTTAGCAATCTTCCTCTCAAGAATAGTAAAGCCATGATTTGTCTTATTTATATGCAAGCATCTTTGGGTAATGTTAATTCAAATTTGTTCAAATCTTGACCCCCTGGGGTAGGGAGGGGGTACAACAGATGATCAAAGTTTTTTATTTAGAAATTTATAGGAAAGATCATTTAAAAATCTTCTCAAAAACAACAAAACCATGATGTCATTTTAATGTAATTTAATTTTGGTTGTAACACGTCATTTGATTGGATAAAAAATTAGTTTATATTGACGTCATTTGATTGGATAAAAAATTAATTTATATTGTATAACCTGTTTTTTTTTAAGCTTTCAATTTATATTTCATGGATCCTCTATGGATTGTTGTTTTATACTCATGTGACCGTTAAGGCCCTTGGGCCTCTCGTCTTAAAGTTCTCACGTCATCTCGCTGTTTGACAGGGACAAGTTTAGACAATTTAGCGGATTGACAGGACGTTTTAGCGGAATTTGAAATAGGATAAGGACATTTTTGCGGAAGAGTTGAGTCATATATACATCTATTCCGATTGCCATTCTATGTACTGCCCTCTTCTCACCAACGGAGAGGATAAGCAGGATTTGGAGAAGGATATACAAGTAGTTAATCTTAATCCAGTTAATACCTAAAACTATAAGATCTGATATGAGATTTGGAGTGGATTTCTAAGAACATGAGCAGATTTTAGTAATCCCTCAACTCTGTACTGCAACCGCTCACAAATGAGCACATTGATAAATTTTCAGGCCCTTAGCAACGGTTTCAAAAAGGGGCTCCCCTAAAAAAAATCTGACAAGCAAAAAAAAAAAAAAAACCTAAACTGTCCAATAAGTGGAAAGGGGGACTTCCCAATATAATCTGACACTCAAAAAATAGGGCACTTAACTGTCCGAATCCTGAAATTTGCCAGTGCTCGACCTTACAGCAACGGGGGGGGGGGGGAGAGAGAGAGAGAGAGAGAGAGAGCAGCATCCTAATGAAAATTTACTATAGCAAAATTCTATACTCAGAATAAAAGCCCAAAGCCTGATTTTTGCTGACTTCACATTGTTGAAAAGAATTTTAATAAGGCCATTTTTACCTTATGTTTATTATTTTTTAATCATATACAAATTATAATAATCCTTGTTACAAACGAAGAAAGTTCAAGAAACACAAAAGAAAACATTATGAAATACTAGTTCCAACACACTGATGTACTTGATATAAAAATAAATTTATAGTCAACATGTTTATTAATATCAGCAAAATAAAACTTTTATATCTCTAAAAGTTTATAAACTAGAATCATACATATATTCTTCTACATGTACATGCACTCATATCTGTGCGACGATTACTAGCACAGTTGAACCTCCATAATCCGGAATCTTCACTTTCCTGACAAAATTTGTGGGAAACAGAATTTACATCTATATATACCTATTATAAAGTATGCTTCAGTAATGCAAACCCTGACATCTATTGGGGTTATTAGAGTTATATTTAGCACTAAAAAGATAAACAAAAATTGTGTCAGAAATCCTTTAATCTGGACGATTTGGTTTTGAACACAAGAGTCTAGATTAACGAGGCTCCAATGTAAAGTATGACTTTTCCTCAACAACAATATATATCATCTTTAATTTACAACTCTCAAACAAAACAGTAACACACGTCTTCTGCAACTCATAACTCTCAAACGAAAAAAAATCATCTTACCATTAATCTTCAAACTAAGGCTTCAATAAAGTATGCTATTATACAATTAATAATTAAACTTTCCACTCTCTCTCTCTCTCTCTCTCTCTCAAATTGGTACGTCCATAATTTTCATAATTTGTATTATATTTTCTCTCTCTAAGGAGAAATTTTGAGAAAATAAATTCTGATTCATTCATGTACATCCTTCTACCAGCTGCAAAAATATATCAAGTTCACTGCAATGCATTTAGCGTCTGTTCCTTTCAAAAGGTCTCTAATAACATGCATTCTGTTAGACCCAATTACAACTCATGGCGGCTGGAAAATTGAAAGGGGGGTGTAAAAATCCATCCAAATTATGCTTAAAGGAGATGAGAGTATTTAACATTAAAACTTACTACACACTGTATAATTTTTTTTTACTAATTGAGGGTTTACTTTATGGTTAATCAGATAAAATAAGGACTAAAAATTAATACTGTAATATTTGGAAAACACGAACTTAAATTTTTATGCATAGTTGTTAATTTTTACATCAAGAATTATATTATGTACACGTCATAGTAAACTTTTTTTCTTTTCGGCGTTGTCACAGTTAATGGAAGAGAGGGCGTTTATTATGGGCTTATTGGGCAAAAACGGAACTTCGAAGGGAATGTCTGTCTAATCCAATATTTACTTATTGTATATTGTCTCTATTGTATTTTTCTATATGCTGTCATACGCAGTAGGCTCCTGTCTGCAGCATCTAAAGGTAAAAATCATTCCATCCTACAATGTTTAAAAAACAAACTTCTTAAATACACGTTGATAGAATAATTTTAAAAAAACACTAGATATTCTTACCGTATATAGAGGGTCAGCTTGTCAGAAAACAAAGTTCCTTTTTTTCTCTCGAGAAGTGTTAAAAAATTGTAATTAGATTTTACTCACAGCAATAAGTACGGGAAGATCAATCCAGAACTGGGAGTGAGGAATGAGTTCTGGCCCTTTGTATCCTCGGACAAAGTTACAGGTACAGCCGCAGATGCAATAGACACTAATACTGACAAAAAATCTGGGGGGAAAATATAACATATATGTATATGACTCTAACATCGAAAGAAAAATGTGTCCTAGTATAGTTCACTTCTGTACCAAGTCTAACTGAAATCCGATCAGTTATTTGAAAGAATTTCATGGAATTGGGAAAAATTATCGTCAATTTGATGAAACTGGGAAAAGTAATACTTCAATGAGTATAAAGTTTATACAACTTAGAGTAGTACATATGTATATGAGATTCCTATTTAGGTCATTAGAAACTGTTTCAGACCCCCCCCCCCCTGAAACCCCGCGTTAGAATCATCCATGCTCTGTGTAGTTCACGATTGGTGGGGGGGGGGGGGGTCTGAAGTTTTCATGCTTACTATTTTTTCCGAGTATGCCTGCACTTGTAAGTGCAAATGCTGCACATTCATAGAGAAGAAATGAACTTTTTCCAAAACTGTAAAAGTTTTATGGAATGTCAATAACGTAACTCTACTTTACTGAACTCTATGATATGCAGTTAACTATACCCTTGATTATACATTTATAGCCTGGGATAAGCGCTGATTCTTTCGATGAAATGACCAAGAAATGGAAATCGCAGTGCAAGGTCAGAAAGAGAATTAATACTCACATAATGATGAGAACAGTTCCGGCGCTCAGCCCCGAGACGGGGAGGGATGGGACGACATTGATACATGCACCCTCAAAATCTGCATTAATTGTGTACTGCAATGTTAATATAGGTCAATTTTAAAATAATATGTAAACAGCTATACAGTCAATTCAATTTTATCAATTCCGTAAAATATTCTTTGAATCAAGAGAATTTTTCTTTGATCCCATGGAAAAAATCCAGATTCCGAACCAACCCGCAACTGTTTTCCTTAAGATAAATTTATTTTCGATTTTGTCAGCTTGTTCCTAGGTGAATCGGATACCCTTCCCTCCCTTCTTGTAAATTTTGTCTGCTTTATCTCCCACGTTTTATTAGGATGTTTAACAATGTTTTATTCAGTAAAGAAATGCACGACTAGTATGCAGTAGGTGAAAATCTTGACACTAAGTTGTTTAATAATTGACTGTTGATATTTATAACTCAAATAAATGAAAAAAATATGAATACTTACTGTACATTCACCCTTTTGATTTTTTTCAAACTCAGGTTTAATGTTTGACGACTTCGGGATTGGAGTTGGTCCTTGGGATCCTGAGGTCCATTTTGATTGTAAATTGCAATGAAATTTCACTACTGTCGTCAAGTTAACACATGTGGTGCTATAATTTAGGAAGACTGGTCCAAAGGTTGCCACGATTAAACCACCTTTATATAGAAGAACACAATAATTATAAATTGCAAAATGCATATCTGTGTAAGAACTTTTATATACTTACCTTTTCTGGCATGTTATTTTATTGTTCCTTTTTAGATGGTTAACCTTTTGAATTCAAACAGGCAGACACACAAACTAGTTCTCTATGTACTGTATTCAGCCTGCAAAACTAGAGCCATCCTTTAGAAACTAATACCCTAAGAGCTTGTAGCAATGGACTAAGCATATACATACACGCTTTATTACAATATATAAATGCAGCAAAAAACTACATGCTTACTAAGTACCTTAATATTAAAAGACAGGTTTTGTAAATACCACCGGAACACTCTAATTTTTGGTAAATTTTATTAACGAAATGTTTCAAGGGTGTAGGATTCTAATAAGCTAAAGGCATAAGATAAGGTTGATATGTGTTTTATAACACGAACTAACCCTCTGTGGCTACATGTTGTCATCTTCGCTAGTTTGTGAGGAGAGTAGCGGATCAAAAACCCTTGGCTAGCGAAGATGACATGTTGTGTGCACCATGAAATCACAGTAGAACAAAATTCGCCATTTTGATAAAAACGGATTTTGATGAAATTGTATTTTACAAAAATTAAACATTAAAAAAAAGTTTGAATTGTCTTATTAAAAAAAAAACAACTTTTCAGTCGGAGCGATTTAATTGGATCGGTCACGTAAGGGGAACTAACGTATTTTTTATTTTGGCCCGGTACCCTTTCAACTGGAAATTTTAAATCAAACAAGTGGCAAAATTTTGAAATATAAATGTTTACTATTAAGTTTTGCTGTTTAATAAAGAAGTAGATTGAAAGTGTACACACACTTCAAATCTGTATAAGTTGTTAAAATCTCAAAATTCAACTTTTTTAAAAGCACTGAAAAATTCAATTTGCTTGTCATTTTGGAATTTTTACCTACATTTTGGGGAAAAAAGAGTAAATTTTCAAGTGAGACAGGGTCCTTTGACAGGACCTGGAGGCAAGGGTTATTAAGCACTAAGAGCAGAAGTGCAGGTTAAGTTTGGATATCACTATAATGATAAACGTATGGCTGTTTTAAACCAGAGTCATTTGATCTCAAGTATAGACCAGACATGGCATCTGAAGCCTGATCCAACTATAAGTACTTGTAAAGGTGCACCATTACAATCACCAAGTGCACCATTACAGCAAGCTTGCATGGCCGTAGGAACCGGGGGGGGGCGTGCCCCCCCATGCCCCCCCCCCCAATAATTTTGCCGATATATAGAATACTACAAAAAACTTAGCTACTATATGCTTGTGCCCCCTCAATATAAACGGCTGATGACCCCCTTTTTTGGCTTGTCAAGGAAGTTTGGTAGTTGATAGTGCCCCCCCCCCCCCCAGCTGAAAATGTTTGGCTGTGCTCCCCCACACTGAAATTGCTTCCTACGGGCCTGTCTTGGTTTGGATATCTTTCTTATGGATATCTGTCTTGGTTTGTGGTGGAAGAATAAAATAGTATGATACACAGTATGTACGATAATTTTATGCACCAGTAAGCGAGAATGGATCCTGTGTGTATCCACCAATTGAGAAATTTTTGCTCTCATTATTCCCAGTGTAGTTGGACGCCTGCACACATGCACTAGATGATTCATTGCACTCGGGTATTTTCTCTATTTTGTTACAGAAGGCCAATGTTACGTTACATGTGGCATAGCCATTAGATGGTTCAGCAGGACAGTTCTTATTGGAAACTTGGAAGGTCCATGATCTGTATTGAAAAAAAAAATAAAAATACACAAATTTGAAATGATATCTATCTATCTATCTATCTATATATAGAAAGCACAAAGAAATTCACTTTTATAAGGATACCCACTTCCGCCCCAGCCCGGGGTTGAACTCTCGACCAACGGAATCTGTCTCCTAGCAGTACAGGAACAGCGCGCTAGACCGCTCGGCTATCTAGGCAAGTCAAAAAACTCGCTTTCGATGCCAATGCAATTCTAGCAGCGATGCTCTACACTACATGGTCATTGAGAATGGAAGTGAGATACAGTAATTTGGACATTAGTTTATTAGAAGATCGTTACCAATACACGTTGTAATGAAATTAATTTTATTTATAAAGCACATTTTACAACAACTCTTAAACTAACATAATATAAAAGTGAATTTCTTTGTGCTTTCTATATTAATAATTCTTCACTTAGGGCAGTTATGTTAGTTTAAGAGTTGTTGTAAAATATGCTTTATAAATAAAATTAATTTCATTACAAGGTGTATAGGTAACGATCCTTATATATATATATATATATATATATATATATATATATATATATTTAATAGCTACTTAATCTATACGGTATAAAGTGGGTCGGGGCAGTTTACGCTTTATAAACTGCTTTGTAATATAATAAATATGTTTTATCACATATTTACTCCATTGTACAATAGATATAGCTCATGGGATATCGTTTTCATATCAACAGTTCTGACTTCACAATGGTTTTTGCGTGAATTTGATCAAGTATTGTGGATTTACATGTAGAAAACCGTATAAAACATGAAAGAGCTGTGTAAAACATGTGATAAAAAGAATCTCCCATGGTAATTGTAGTTGGATATGATTTTTTTTATCCAACTCGTTGTTTGTTTGTATCCCCTAGCCAATGCTCGTGGATAGAAACACGCAATTCGTTGGATAAAACATCATATCCAACCACAAACCATGGGAGATCCTATATTCATTACCGGTTAAGAAGAATTTACTTGGCTTTGGATTGTGTCTTATATAGTCAGATATCTGGATTTCAAAACTGCGTTTGCATGGATAATGCTTACAAGTGAAATGGCAAGCTTTTAAATAAGGAGCTCTCCGTTTTTCACGAATTTCACTCAATCCGAAACATAGGAAAAAATACGCATATTTTAAAAAATCAATTCATGAAAAAATCCTGAAAAGGGTGGGGGGGGGGGGGATTTTCGATCTTGTTACGGTTAAGAAGAATTTACTTGGCTTTGGATTGTGTCTTAAAAAGTCAGATATCTGGATTTCAAAACTGCGTTTGCATGGATAATGCTTACAAATGAAATGGCAAGCTTTTAAATAAGGAGCTCTCCGTTTTTCACGAATTTCACTCAATCCGAAACATAGGAAAAATACGCATATTTTAAAAAATCAATTCAAGAAAAAATCCTGAAAAAGGGGGGGGGGGCTTTTCGATCTTGTTACTGACTTATTTATCCCGTATACTATACGAAAAATCGAGGGGGGGGGGGGCGAAAAATAATCGTTCCTTACAAAAAAAATATCCCACTTTACATTGTAAAGTGGAATGTTTTGTAAGGAACGATTATTTTGCTTTTTTAAAGCGATCTAAAGGCCTGTGATATTTACAGGTTTTACTATTCTATAATGTTGAAGTGCTACTGGCTTGGTGGGTCTACCTTTTTTTTCCTATTTCTAATCGTAATGAACCATTGCGAAAAATTGACAAGTCTATATTGCACAGATTTAACTGAATTGCCAGTACATAACTTATCTTTATATAAACGATACCTCCTTAATTTATTTCCATTTGGTTTATTATTATCACTATACAACTTATCATACTCATGGCCGTAGGAACTGGGGGCACGGGGGGCGTGCCCCCCCCCCCCCCCAATAATTGTGCCGATATATGGATTACTATAGAAAACATAGATACTATATGCTTGTGCCCCCTCAATAAAAACGTCTGATGACCTTTTTTTTTTTTTTTGCTTGTCAAGAATTTTTTGGTAGTTGATAGTGCCCCCCCCCTCAACTGAAAATGTTTGTCTGTGGCCCCCAAGCTGATATTGCTTCCTACGGGCCTGATACTACTCCTTTTCATCTAATTCAAATAATAATTTCTTTATATGTACAAGCTTGTACTTCGACGTGTAATTTGAATCAGCAATACTACTCTACTCAAACCGCTTTTCCCTATAATGTTATTAAATTTTATCCTGCCAAGAACGTTTAAATTGTAATGACCAAGTATGTATGATCTTAATCAATCTATTATCATTTACATGAAATTTAAATATAAATATACCCAAAGTTAGGCTAAATATACAGAGTAGAAAATTTTTAAATATATACTCACTTTAAAAGAGTGTGTAAGAGCTCTAAATGATAAAACAGCTTTATATAAAATGTTTAGCTGGGGAAAAATTAAAGTATTGAGAGAATGATCGAATAGTGTCAATTTTGACGGGTCGGTCAGAGTACATTAACTGTAATTTAGGGATGCGGGATTTTATCGGTATACAGATAGGGCTAACATATATCGTGATTTTTTTTATTGCGTGATACGTATCGTGATACGGAGACTAGAATACCAGTATTTGGTACATAATTATTAATTCCAGAAATTACTTATTAATTATGTTTATTTGTTCGAACTATTAAATAGAAATTACAGAAAGTATAAAAAAAAAATGTTGAAAAAAGCTAAATTATGGCATCCAGACATGCTTTATATTATATAAATAAAAATGGAAAAAAAGTAAAGCTATATTTTGCAGTGTATTTGTGTGAAAAAGTAGGGAAATTCATTTGAAAATGAAGAAAAAATTTCGTGTAAAAATATTCCGATTTTATCGCGATATTTTGAGGGAAAAATCGTGATATATCACGATAGGAAGTTTTTGGTGATACCCATCCCTACAGTGTAATTTCACATCTCACTATTTCTATGGTTAAAGGGCAATAACTCTAATAAATTGTGAAGGTCAGACTATGTATCACGTGATCCACCAAAACAATAATATTCCCAACGACATCATGGCGGAACACAATCCATGTTATTGAAATGACTTGCTGCAAGGTAATTTTATTCTTCAAATTGATTGAATTCTATAAAGAAATGCAATTTCACTAGATATTGTTGGCGTTCAACATTATTAAATAAATGTCAAGCTTCACTAACGGAAAGGGCAAAAATGCCGAACCACCAGCCACCAGGTTAGTCAGTTTAAGCCTAATAAGTGCTGAATAAGGCTTCAGACCATATCTATGTCATATCTCAAATAAAAATTGCAAAAGTTAACAAGTGATTAGACAAAAAATGAATCGATACATATGCTTTGTGCAACTTAGCCGTTTTCAAAGCATATTTCCGGCTCTTGAGATGTTGATAAAGTATGTCATAAGTTCATACCCGTTAAGAGACGAGACATCATAACCTAGTGGACCATTACACAGTATGTCGGCCCCCTCAGTGACGTGTATGACAATGAAGTACTGTAATACAGTCCAGAGCACATATTTCCTGATAAGCGAAGTAGTTGTTGGCATATTGACTTAAGGCATGTGACCAAAACTCGTGACAACGTTGTTTAAATGGAAACATTTTTGGCGGGAATTATTTGAGTTTTAATTATGCCTTTAATTTACATGAAAATAATATTTTATTGACACAAACACATATGTTCATTCATTCTTTAATTCCTCCTATTGGAGATTCATTTTATACAAAATACAGTCGAAGAAAGTAACTTTACATAAGTGCTAATTTGTAAGTGTGCAAAAGTTCATAAGAAAATGAACTTAATATCAATGGTATTAAATATAATTATATTAAGTAAATGAGCCTTTTTTTGCCCCTGGGTATCTAGGAGGCAAACAGAGTACACAGTTGTAATAAGTAAAATTAATATGGGATATATTCATACATGTGATAAGTCACAGACCACAAAACTGTACAGGAGCCATAAAAAAACTGGAAATTGGGTGAAAAACTGTACACTGCCTATCAAAAAACGGTGCAAAAAACAGTATAACATATCGTTTAAATTCTTTTGATAAGGCACCTTATTTCTAAACCAACAAATATATATTGTTGCAAATGTCTTATTTTAAAAGTTGTAATGGAGATTTGAATGCTTTAAAATTTCATATATTGTGTTTTATAATCACAATGTTCTTATGAATCAACTATAAATTAAGCTAGTTTAGATGATAGTTTGTTTGACAGTTTTATATAGTATTAACGTGAGAGTCAATGTCTCCAATATACATCTTGTTCATATTACTGATATCAGCAATGCTAAATAACAGCAGCAAATACAATCATACATAAATTTCAGCACATAAAAACTTAAAACTATATCCTTTATTTCAGCGTAATCATGGTAATAAACATCGTATATTTTATACCTACGGAGATCTGGGTCAGATTCATGTATATTATTAAGTCGTGTATATCAATTTTTTTCAATCAAGCTACGAAACAATAATTAAGTACCCCTTTAAAAATAAAGCTACCTAAAGGGGTATCTTGATACGGATTTATAACAAGATAATTATCCCAATTGGCAGTTCACACCTTCACACGCGATGGTTTGTGTACACTACTCAATTATCAGAAGGTGAAGTGTCAAACACAGGTGGCGTTTTCCAGTGTCTCGAGAGAGATAATGAGAGAAAAATGGCGGCATTTAGCGAGAAATTCAAAATACTGTACAAATTTTCATATTCCGTGAATTTTGTGTACCGCCGGTACATACCACATGTATGTATATTGATACAAAGAAAACATTCACAAGTAAGTTTGCAATAGAGTTAGTGTACAGGGGCTACAATTGTCTGGTCCATTTAAGGGAGCGCTGTTGTCTTTCTGTAATACAGCACTGCCACATCTCTTGTGAAATGAAAATTAAGAAGGTGGAGTTCTGGCGAGTCATAGTCTGAGACTAAGGTAGTTAGGCATCTAGCACGGAGAAGAAACAATGTAAATCACTTTGTGACAGTCCTGATAGCTTGGCACCTAGTGAAAATTCATAGTCCTCAATCACAGTTTCCCACCAGGCATTGCGATACAGTAAAATTATGGTTAATGATGAAGTATTATGAATAGGACAATGTTATAGAAAAATGAATTTGGGGAGCATAATTAATGTAACAATAATCATCCCCTGCCAGACCCCCCCCCCCCCCCCTTATCTTCCTCGTCCCTGTTTCAGTTGATTTAGATAAATGAATAAGAAGAGGTAATATTAGAGATTATATTCTGCTACTTATAAAATTAAATGGATAGTCTAAAATGTGCCTTAGTGGTATTGATTTTCATCTTCATTTAATGGAGGTAATATTAATATTGATGTTATTGCATAAACAATAAAAATTAGGGCCCCGCAAGGATTTGCGGGTGCCCTATAGTAATCACTCTGTCTGTCTGTCTATCTGTCCATCTTTCTGTCCGTCTGTCATTCTTCCGTCCACAAATTTTTTTTTTATGCCCCGCCATGAATATGGCCGGGGCATATAGTGTTTGTCATGTCCGTCTTCCGTCCTTCTGTCCTTCCTTCCGTCTGTCCTTCCGTCACACTTTGCGTTTAGCTCTGTTCAAAGCTCAGTTTCAAAGAAACTATCCAAGATATTTTTATCAAACTTCATATGCTGATAGATATTGATGAGAGCTATGCAACTGCATCAACATTTTTTGACCTTGACCTCACTTTTCTTAAATTAGTGTTTTATAGCTCAGTTTTAAAGATACCATTCAAGGTAGTGTAATCAAACTTCATATGTTGATACATACTGATGTAAGCTATTGAACTGCATCAACATTTTATGACCTTGACCTTTCTTTTGACCTTGACCTCACTTTTCCTAATTTAGTGTTTAGCTCAGTTTCAATAAAACAATTCAAGATATTTTTAATGAATTTCATATGCTGATACATACTGATGAGAGCTATTCAACTGCATCAATATTTTTTACCTTGACCTTTCCTTTGACCTTGACCTCACTTTTCTTAAATTACTGTTTAGCTCAGTTAAATATACCATTCAAGATAGTGTTATCAAACTTTATATGCTGATACATTCTGATGAGAGCTATTCAACTGCTTCAACATTTTTTGACCTAGACCTTTCCTTTGACCTTGACCTCACTTTTCTTAAATTAGTGTTTAGTTCAGTTTTAAAGAAACCATTCATAATATTTTTTATCAGACTTCATATGCTAATACACATACTGATGTAACCTTTTCAACTGCATCAAAATTTTTTGACCTTGACCTTTTCTTTGACCTTGACTTCACTTTTCTTAAATTAGTGTCAAACTTCATATGCTGATACATACTGATGTAAGCTATTCAACTGCATCAATATTTTTTCACCTTGACCTTTCTTTGACTTTGACCTCACTTTTCTCAATTTGTGTTAAAATGTTGCATTTCTAATGTACCCTCGGCGGGGCATTCATGTCCTATGGACATATTTCTAGTTTTCTAATAACTTTTCTTGTAGTTGACCAATTAACTTCAAATTTGATATGTTGGTTGAAGAGGCAGTAAGACATATTTTGATACTTAGATTGGTTCTCCATGTCATCCAGTTTGGAGCTGGGGTGGTGGGGTATATTCCTTAACTTTACATTAGAATGAATGTCAGGGCAAAGAGAGATAACTGCTGAGAATGTTCCTATTGTAAACTATAAAAGTTGCAACTAGTCCCATGGGATTAATTATCTTTCCTCTTGAAGAAAATCCAAAGCTTTATCTGTTTCTGTCAAATTGAGATTGATTAACACCTCTGTCTGCAAATGAAGTTTGTTTTGAAGTTAGGTCAATTCTGAATGATGTTTACATTCTCTGAAATGTTGATTTAAATAATGTTCATACTTTATTTTGGTATAATACACAATGACTTATGATTTTATTGAATTCTAAAACAAGATATACATAAAGATATGTTTGTTTGTTTATTTATTTTTATTTATTTATTTTTTTTTTTTTTTGCTGCCATATGTAAATTCAAGAATACTATTAATTTTAACAGGTAGTCCGATAATGAACTCATTCGATCGTTATACTGAAAAAGTTCTTATTGTAAACTTGGAAGAAAAGGATGAGAGAGCAGTACAATTAATCCCCTGGGATTAATTATCTTGTCTGGGGCAGAAAATTTTCCAGGTTTATCTTTATTTGTCACTTTAAGATAAATTAACCTTTGTCTGCAACTGATGTTTGTTTTTGAAGTTAAGGTCAAGCCTGGGTGATATCTGCATTCACTGAAGGCTGGCATTTTATAAAACACATGCTTTATTCTTGTTTAAATATACATTTAATTGAGTTATTATAGATATGATGTTTTTTTACTGCCTTATGTAAATTAATACAGGGATACTCTTTACAGGTTGTTGGATATTTAGGAATTATCTTGAAATTTTATAAATACAATTGTTATTGCATATTCTTCTTCATATATTTTTTTTTAATTTTTGTAATCAATTAAAATTCTCATTTTGTAAGCTGCACCCTTATATTTCTACCCCTTGGCGGGGCCCTTGCTGACTGGTCAGTTTTCTAGTTTATGATTATGTCCGCAGAGCTCCAGATAAGGTGCGTATTTGCAGAAATACGCATTGAATTTTACCAAATACGCATTGAAAATTAAAACTGGGCGTACAGTTACGCATTAGCAATTGTAAATAAGCATTAGACTACGAAAGTACTGCGTACGATGGATTGAATAATACAAGTACGACTTAGCTAATGATATGGATTGAGGTCAGCTCAGTGTTTGATTTTTTTTGAACGAAATATTAATTTAAAAGCGTTTAAATAACCAGGAATATGCTAGTTATGGCGACGACCATTTCCAGTTTGGGAGAAAGAATTCAATGATTAAGATTAAAATCGATATCTGTATATAGATAGACTATGCACTAGGCATAGTTACTTTTAAGCACATAAAAGCTTGTGTCGTCTATGTAAGACGACATTGTTCTGTAACAAGTGTAATACATAAGTAATAGAAAACAATGTTACCTAGAAAACAATGAATAGTTGGAGGGGGAAAAAAAGAGTCCTAGCCAGATAAAAAAAGTTTATACTGCAATTTATCAAAGAGTACATATTGTGTAAAAAAGCAGTGAAGACCATATCGAAAAAAACGAGCTCTGTTTTTAATTCAAGACCAATTAAATAAACTGCTGTAGAGAGACATTACGCATATAATATGACTTTGTATTTAACGATAAAGAGTTTTCCTAGATTCTCTAGAGTTCTCTATGGTTCTCTGTTTAGTAGGACAACTACACACGGTTTGCACATAACGTTTTTTATGATGGGTTCATTGACAGTTTCTGATTTCTCTTGTTCTTTTTTTCTCGGTTCACTCTTCCTACGATATCATCTTAAATAGAGAAAAAAAATTGTATGTGCCTATGGTTACTTTACGTACTGTACGATCTTCCTTGTCCAAGAAAAAAATGTTTCTCAGGTTATCAAAAATCTTGTAGGCATTCTCAAAAATTTATTTAAATAAATACAGGAACTGTTCTTTGTACTTCTTTTTTCTTTCCTTTTTTTAAATAATTTTATTTCGATAACAAGCTCAAATAATTTTATTTCGATAACAAGCTCAAAATTACAACAGATGTCAAAACATTAATATATTAACAAAATACTCTTAAATCATTGTGCTGAATGTCAAAATCTGCATTGATTTGAAAATCAGGGAGTAAATACACTTTGGGCTAAAAAATTATCTGGAGCTCTGAATGTCCTACCCTGGTACTTCCTGTAGGATTCAGGTCCTTAAGAATCAGTAGGAAGTGGTCCTGAAATGATTCCATTCAGTATATTATTTGGATCCGTGCTTGTTTAGAATCTTTTAAAGGTTAAATAAGTAGTAAGTACATTCTCTCTTCTTAACTTGGTACCAGTAATTTTTTTTTATCAGTCCTTCATTTATATATGCACAGAGGCCTGTAAAATATAATGCTTGATTTATACATATAAAAAGGATGTAGAGTGATCATGTAAAATCAGGCGTAGTATGTAACTGGCCCCTATGTTGCTATGCAGTAAAAAAAAAAAAATGGGACCACACAGAATTAAGGAATCACTGACTTAGTTTGTTGGGTATGCCAGGTCATTAACAACACTTGGAAATGTGAGATAATTTGTATTTATAACTGGATCGAGTTGTAGCCTACATGTGTATTAGATGTTGAAGGCAGCGTGCATTGGATGATTCTGCATTCTTGTTTACATTGTGGTCAAAGGTTGGATTCTCACCGATTGACATACATATTAGGCACTTGACCTTTAACTTGGCGAAATTTATATTCACGACAGTTGTAAATATTGAGAATTAACAGACTTAACTTTCAAGTTGATATTGTAGAGAAAACAGAAATGTGAATATTAAATCATTAGGGCTGCGCAATAATATAGATATTCCGGTATATTGTGATTCGTTAACAACAAATATAGTATTGAGATATGTTTTTCCAGTACTGATATACTGGCAAAATGCTTGGGCTTTAGATTTATAAAGTAAATTATAAAATTTAAGATGTCAGAAACGTTTACCAAATGGTAAAGGTTTCTGTTGTATGATTACATTTCGTTGCTGAACTGTAGTGAAATCAACTAAAACTTTTTTGTTACAATGTATTTATAAAAGTTTTATACACTTTACTTATAAATGGAGGTTAATAAAATAAGAAAAGAGCATTTAAATGTTAATATTTACATTTTCCAATGTCTTTCTTGAGATAAAACTACAAATAAAGTAGTGGCTTTATAACCCCATAAATCGATTTGCTCAGCACTTGACATAACTGCATTCTTTTTCACTGCATGTTGCTTAAGTAATACACCTGGTGGGGATCCTGAGATTTCTTATTATTGAATTTTTTTAATTGAATCAAGGATCAGATAAAAATGTAAATATAAGGAAAAACTGTCTAGTTTTTTGGTTTTATGGTGATGATCAATCAATTTGCTCTCATAACAATTTTACGCTTAAACGCCTTCAGCGTTTATGCAAATTAACACGCGAGCAAATTGATCGATCACATCATAAAACCAAAAAACTAGACAGTTATTCTTTAATTAATAATATTGCAATACATATTGCAATACAGTTCCAAATATCGCAATATATTGTAATACAAAATTCCAAACCGATACCCAGCCCTTTAAATCATAATCTGAATTTGGTAAAAAAAAATTTCCCAGTTATAATCATTAAACCAGGTACCAGTTATATGAATTACATGCACATGTAAAATTGTCACATAATGATTAATCAGAAAATTGTAAGAATGAGTAAAGGAAAAAAAAAATGCTCTTGTTGTGACTTGTAAAGCTTACAGCTAATTTAGGTGTCCGCTTCAGTGAACACGGTGAAGGATTTTACTTAATTATTGATCTGTGAAAGATAATTATGGATAATGCTGAACAGTAGGTGAATCTTACATCTGAATATGTTGACTATTGTTTCTTGTCATTTTTTGTAACAATATGTACACTGTATAAGGTACATGTATATGATAGGAAAGTAATAACATGTACCTATACACCTATATGTATTTATAGATGTATACACAATGTAGCGGTTTCATCAGGTGCATGCAATAAATAGAAAGAGAGACTGCATATTTCACAAGTTGAACTTTGTACCTGATGAAGTACCAAGTATTTTCTGAACATGTAACAAAATACTTGAAGGATAGGAAATGATTGGTGTATATACTAAAGTATGAGTAATTATAGATCTATATACGTGTGTGTACATATATATATATATATATATATATATATATATATATATATATATATATATATGGAAAAACCAGGAAAAAAATAATAGGTATCATATGATATAGACCTTTTATTCTAAGTGAGTTGTATTGGAATATGCAAGTTATACACACCATTTTGCCTCGAGAAAACTGTTAAATTTATTGTGTAAGTATTTACATGTATTTAGTGAAGCATAAATATTCGGCTGCAAGGTAAGAGCACCTGGTAATACATGATACTGACAGTGTTGACAGACAATGACATATTGGTATTAAGGTCTGTTTGTTTTAGATATTACTTTACTTCTCATAAGCTAAAAAGGATTATTATATTCTAACATTTAAAGTTGGCATGTATACCAGAGGACTTGTGAATTTCTTTAAGTTTATGGTATATGTTCATAATTGTAGATTTCTTTCAGTTCCATACAAAAAATATTCCTGACTATAAATGTGTATAATTGGGGATTTTTTTTTTAGTATGGGAATATTGTTTTGTTTGTTTGTTGTTTTTTATAGCTTTTCTGTCTACAAGTACCTGTGTTACTGACTGTCATTTTTATAATTCATTTCTAGACTATGTTTTAAGGGACATCAGAATTAGATTCACCAGTACATGTACATGTACTATTTTTGCTGATCTGACCTTTGGAACTCTTAACATGGAATGATATTGAGCACATAGCATTTATTTATGAATGTGAAATTCAGCTCTCCTTAGATAAGAGTCCCTCAACAAAAATATTATAAAAGTATCAGTTCGGTATAGATAAGAGTACATGCATGTAAATTATTTAAAAAAAAAAAGGGGTACTGACATTGGACTACATGACTGTAAATGAGTTCTGTTTTTGTGAACAGTCACCCAAAAAAAAAAAAACTGAAGAAGCTGGCCTTGGTTTTGTTTAATGCATTCTGACCATGAACTAAAATTCAACCACTAACTTAGCATCTGTTGTTGTCCTTCTGATATCATTAGATAAATACAACATAGCTATACTTTTAATACTGTAGATAAATTAAAAAAAATATATTTGGCCTTCTGCAAGAATAGTACATGTATTTTATATACCAGTACATGTGTAAATTTCAAGACTGTTTTTCATATAAATCAGGAATGTTGATATTTTTATTTTATTTAATTTCAGAGTTTAAGGAAAATTCTGCAGTATGTTTAAAGTGGCAGCAAAGTTTGTCCACATCACCAATGGTGGAGTGAGGGTGGCCAGGGGTGCCCTTGGAACCTACGCAAGATATGCCTACTACTCCCTAACAGACAAGAAAGGGAGACAACCCAGTGAAGGCTCCCTGAAGACCATCAAACCTTACGAACCAAAATACAATTTAGAATACAACACTCCAGAAGACTACCTCTTGTCACAGGTTTGTGAAATATATGAAACTATGTTTCATTGTTATACCTGGGGGGAAAAATACATCATTTATTAATTAATAAATGATTTAATTTTTGAATTTAATGAAAAAGTTTTGGAGAAAAAAATCATGATTCACATTGTTGATTTACAGGAAGCTGTAAAACCTTTCTTCATAAAATAACTTTTGATGTAATATTCCAGTCTCAATTTTTTCATTGTACAGTGGACTTCAAATCCATGGCCGTATTTCTACTATCGGATATTGGTGGCATGTTATTTTGTATTTATGGTGCTGTACACAGCAATTGTTGGAACTCTGAAGGCCAAAATGTTGATCATGCTGACCTACTGGTCTTTCTACCTCCTAACAGCTTGCCAAATCATCAGAGCAGCTAATGTGTGGCATTATATACAACTCAGGAACGTCAACCAAGGTAAAAGCAGAAACTGATCAGCGTTAATAAGTGAACTTGTTACCAAAAGATTTTGTCTGCAAAAATGATGATATTAAAATAAATATAAATAAACATAGACTGAGCAGCTAAGATATTGATGATACTGGTAGTATATGTTACAAATATACTGTGTGTTAATACACTGACATTTAATTTATGAGTCTTTTGAAATTTTCAATAATGTGGAGACACCAAGTATGACAAACGTGAAATACGTGTTTAGATAAAGGCTTAAGTGAGCTGCTCCGATCATCCGACTGTCCGTCTATAAATTTTTCACATTTTTGACTTCTCAAGAACCAAACTTGCCACAAAGCCTCCTTGGGTTAAGGAGATTCAAGTTTGTTCTAATGTAGGACCACACCCTTTTCCAAGGGGAGATAATTAAGAATTAATGAAAATTTAATAGCTTCTTTTAAAAATCTTCTTCTCAAGAACCACCAAGCCAGAAAAGATGGAATTTATAGAATCATCCTCAGGTAGTGTAGATTCAATTTTTTTTAAAATCATGATCCACAGTGGTAGGATGGGGCCACAAAAGGCAATCAAAGTTTTACATAGGAATATAGAGAAAAAATTTAAAATCTTCTCAAGAACCACTGGGCCAAAAGAGTTCAAACTTACGAGAAAGTTTCACTATATAGTGTAGAATCAAATTAGTTAAAACCACGAACCCCCGGGGTAGGGCAGGGCCATAATGGGCAATCAAATTTTACAAAGGAATATATAGGAAACATCATGAAAACTCATCTTCTCAAGAAAAAGCAAAACTATGATCAGTCATATTTACATGGAAGCATTCTCAGAAGTGTTCTGTTTTGTTCAGATCATGACCCCTATATGTAGGGTGGGGCAACAATGGCAATCAGAGTTTAATAAAGGAATATATAGGAAAAAATCTTTTAAAATCTTCTTCTCAAGAACAACAAAGTCATGATTGGTCATATTTATATGGAAGCATACTAGTGTAGATTAAAATTTGTTCAAATCATAACCCTTAGGGGTATAAGGGACCACAATGGGCAATTAAAGTTTTACATAGGAATATGTTGGAAAAATCTTGAAAAGTCTTCTTCTCAAGAATAGCAAAACTAAGATCAGACATATTCATATGGAAGAATTCTCAGGTAGTGTATATTTAGGACTGTTCGGATCATGACTCCTGGGGGTGGGTGGGGGGGGGGGGGGACAATATGTGGTCAACGTTTTACATAGGAAGATACAGGAAAAAATCTTGATAAGTCTACTTCTGAAAATCAGCAAAGCCATGATTAGTCATATTTTTATGGAAGCATCCTCAGGGAATGAAAAATCTTCTTCTCAAGAACCACTGGGCCAGAAGAGTTGAAACTTGTGAAAGTTTCAATACATAGTGTAAAATCAAATTTGTTCAAATCATGACCCCTGGGGGAAGAGTGGGTGCACAATATATTGTCAGAGTTTTACATAGGAATATATAAGAAAAAATCTGCTTATGAAGAATGGCAGGACAATAGGAATTCAGGTGAGCATTGTGAATCAAAGGCCTCATTGAAATGCTTTATACAATAAATCACTATGATATATAATAATACAGTTTGCAGCTCAAATTTTTAGCACTTCTTTAATTGGGTGTGAATCAAAATTTATAGATTAATAGTAATGTACAATACTACATGATGATTAAAATGAATAAAATGACAGATAATCAATAATCTGTAAATAATATACTTTTTGATTATAATAGATATTCATCAGAAGTTGAAGAGTAGTGGGCGGATCAAAGTTCAGTGGGTGTTATACAACCTCAGTACAGGAAGTGCCCCCATAGTCACCTTCCTGTTTTGGACTATAGCTTATGATGGTATTTATCCAGAAAATCATGTGAAATATTTCAAAGTATGATTTGCCATAAAAGCATTAATAGTTATACAATAACTCATGTTTTGCCTGTAAGGTTTGCATGTATATTGTACAATATTGACATTAAGTTCTGTTTTATTACAGGTTCAGGTGTAAACTTCATTAACTGTTCCACACATGGGGCAAATGCTGTAGCAGTGTTTCTAGATCTTTGGATTACTCGGATGCCAATGCGGATGATGCACATGATCCACAGTGTTATCTTTGGATTGATTTACAGTGCCTTTTCTGTTATGTACTGGTACCTAGGGGGGACCAACCAGTATGGAGAACCTTTTATTTACAAAGTGCTCAATTATGGGGAATCCCCTCTAAAAGCATTGTATTACATTGTAGCTATTAGCTTCATTGTTGCACCCATGATTCACAGCATGTTCTTCCTATTGTATAGGTTAAGAGTTTTTCTCCATCGGTTTTTGACAGCGATGGATAAAAGACATAAAGTCGAGAAAGATTGAAAATGTTTTGATGTTACTTTATAATATAAACTGAGCTTTCATGTTTTTTTGTGCCAATTTTTCATACCAGTAAATAGCTTCAGAACATGAGTGTATATTTACTATTTATATCATTCATGTTTCTGAGATGGAAGCATTGGGGGTCTAGTCTAGATTTTACATGTTAAAATATTCTTTCATTGTTCAGGGTAACAAGAAACAGATTCTTTTTTATTATTCTAGCATTCCAAACATTTATATGTGCCAGTATTTTATAAATAGTAAGAAGGAAGTTAGTCCATGTAACAGGTGTTTTTCTATGCATAATATTTAATTATTTCCATGACGTATACTGAATTTATTATATTTCTTTGTAATCTCTAATAGGGAACATAATTGGTAACATTAAGGACCCTCTATACACTGATGAAAAATGTTTTTTAGACTTTGAGAAAATTATACAGCGTAAATGAGGATATTTTGAAATTAACTAATTCATTTTCAATATAGCCTATATTATAGGGAGCGTGGCTTTTTTATCCAGGAAAAATCTTTAAAGACAATGAAGTAATAATAAAGAAAAATTGCTTTTGTTTACTCAAATGGAGAAAATACATGCAAATAAAGTTTTAAACTACTCTATCTTGGTCTAATATAATGTTTAGAATACTTGGATTTATTATATTAAATTATGTCATAAAGAACATGTTACAATTTAATCTATTTCATGTCTAATGATGGGTCAGTCTAACTACACAAAAGTACCCTGGAATAAGGGTGCAGTGTAGAGAGGGTCCTTAAGATATTTTTATTTTGAAGGGAACAGTTTACCATATTCATGAGTATCAAAACTACCCATTAACAATAGAATATTCAATACATTTTAGATAAGTTCTGTTTGCAGAAACTTATATGCTTTAAGGAAGTGATTTTACTGAAAATTTATTGTGTAAATATTTTGAAGCGTTTACTTTTTCTTTTCTGGATCAAATCATGTTTATGTAGTATTACATGAAACATTCAGACTCAGGAATATGTACGTAATTTTTTGAATTACAGTTAAAGTAAACTTATAATTCTTGATTTGAGTCATATTTACACTTTGGAAATATAATTAACAGTTTACATTGTGAATAATGAAGTATATTTGTACTTGTGGCATTTACTTGAATAATGTATGATGTGATATCAGTCTTTTTAAAGAAACAGGAAAATTATGCATTGACAGTTTTAAGTTAACAGAGTGTGTTCCACTACATGATGAAACACTGTTATTAAATATAAAGAAAGGGATTGTTATATATCAGTTATTTTGAAACAAATAAATGTAAAAGAGGACATTGTCTTTCAAGTTCCATAACACTCTAGCAAGTGAAAAGTCAGATGTGTTTTAGTTCATTTCTTTTGACATTTTGAGTCAGTTTTGCTTCTTTAACGCCATAATAATAATAAGTAGGGTTGTTAGTCAAGCAATGATGGTGTATTGTTTTTGTTTGTGTTTTTTGTTTTTTCTTGAAGAGGAACAATCTCAGTAAATCCGTTAGTGTTATATTGAGTAGGACTTCTTGTATTATGATTTCTCTTTCGGGTGACAGTGCCCCCTCCCTCCTAGTCACAAGATCTTATTTCAAACAATTTTGATATTATTTGAACATGAATTGCCTTATCTGAATTTATTTTTATTTATTTTTTTATTAATTTTTTGGGTACAAAGGCATTTCAATTTCAGGATAATTTTTTGTATTTTTTGCTGAATTTTATCTTAATGTTATAAGAATATTTAATAATCTTCATGCTGAGGTAACAGTATCACCTGCAAGTGCTTGTGGTTTTCTTATCTATGTTTATATACCTATTTTGAAATGATCGTTTTACTTTGATATTCTACTGGGTGGTGATTAAATTAAGTTTTTTTCAATACTGCACAGAAGGTGGTTATTGCAAATGAAATTCATACAACTTTGTGACCATTTGTTCTTGATATGATATTTATAAACAATATAAATCCATGAATTGAAGGCAATTAAATTAAGCAAGAAGTGTGCAAAACTCTTAGTTACATTTTCAGCCCTCTCAAACTTAACATGAATTTGCTGGAAATTTGAACAAATGTGTTATTCAATAATAATAAAGAAATGCACTACTTGGAAATGATTTATTTTGTGCATTAATTATATAATATCATTGATGTATAAGATTGATTGATATCTTTAAGATAACAAACAATGATCAAACTCAAAAGTCTATTTAAAACAATATAAATTGTAAGCAGTACCGACATGGACCTGTAAAAAAGAGGTGAAATCAGGTGCAGAAAAGTATACTGGATATATTTTCAAAAGAAAAGAAAAACGAAAAGTTTAAAAAAGGAAGGGTTCTGTTGTATGGTTTAATACTTTAGTGCAATCAACTAAATTTATTTTCGTACTAAGTACATGTGTATTTATAAATGGAGGTTAATAAAATAAGAAAAGAGCATTTTAACTGTTATTTAAAATATTGCAATACATGTCGCAGTTCCAAATATCACAATATATCGCAATACGAAATTCCCAACTGATACCCAGCCCTACACTTAACTCTATCTGATTCATTTAGTAAAAGTGTGTAGATCTATACTAATTTAGTAATTCAACAACTATTATCAATGGGCATTGACTGCTCCGGCCTAGTGTGTGAAAATATATTTTCAAAACAAAAAAAAAAACCAAAAAAAAAAAAACATAATGCCTATATGAAACATTTAAAGATTGGGAGATTGAAAATCTTCATATGAAATTTTGTAAATTTATCATTGGATCAGGGAAAAAAAGTACCAATATTGCAGTTCTATCAGAGCTGGGTAGACAACCAATATTTTATTCTATTATTATAGCAATTATCTCTTACTGGCATAGACTTGAGAACATGCCCGAGAATTATTTGTTATACAATACATACAAAGAAAGTATGATCTTGGACAGTTGTAATATAAATAGTTGGTTTTCAAATGTAACATATTTATGTAAGAAAATGGGCATACTTTGGTCTAAATGTAAATCAATGAAACTTAATAACTTTAAAGAAAAAACTGAAAAAAATTATTAGAAAGGATTTCTTTCAATACTGGTTTATAAAAAGAGAAGAGGGTTGTCTGTCGGGTAAACTTACAACATATTTCTTTGTAAAAAGAAGTTTTGAAATTGAAAGGTATTTATTTTTAAAAAATTTTGCACAAAGAAAAATTATATGTAAATTTAGAATAAGTGCACATAATCTCAGAATTGAAAGTGGAAGATATTAAAAAAATGTAAACACAGAAGGACAGCAAGCCACAATGCAAGAAATGAAAGGATTTGTAGAATGTGCGACATGAATTGTGTGGAAGATGAGATTCACTCACTGATTGAATGTCCATTATATAAACATGATAAACATGAATTTTTTGAGAATATTGCTAGAAATAATAAAAAATTTTATAGTTTAACAAATAAAGAAAAATTTTTGTGGATTATGTCTAATGAGAATGATATATTGCTTATCAAGTTGGGTAATTTTCTAATCAATATTTTTTAAAATAAGAAATAGTGAATTATATAATGTTAAAAAGAACCAAATAAATGCAAAAGAGTAATAATATTAAATTATTAATACTCTAGTACAAATATACATGTTACAAATCTTTGTACGTTTGCTAATTATATATATGTATATATATATATTTTTTAAAGCATTTATTATTGGTAATCCCCATCTGCTATAATCATCATCATCTTCTTTAGTTAGTTTCTTTTCTTTTCTCTTAATATCGACATGTTGCTACTATCAATTTTGAATTTCTTCTTGTGTATATAATTCTTTACTTGTATGCCCTGAGGGGCCCCAAATTGGGATCAATAAATCTTATCTTATCCCAGTGAACTCGAAATATACCAAGTGGAACTAGTTAGTTGGTATATGATTAAATAATAATAATACTAAACAAACTTTCACACACTGCTAGAAAGCCCTTGTGCTGTTACTATTCTAACATTTATAACAAATTGATTCGTATTTATATAACAGTTAAATGGTTTTGATCCAAAAGTGTTTCCGTACTTTCTTAGCTGATTGTAGGAGTTAACTGCCCCTTTATTTATGTAGACAACGCTCAATAAATGGTACGTCAGTTTTCATTGGATAATTATCTTTTATCGAAGACGGCGATTAGTTGGTAAAACCAATATGGTGGACTCGTTCATTCTAGAAGTTCGAGTACCTCAAGCTTGTGCTTGTCGTGAATGTAAACAAACACACATTGTTAGAAATTGAAGTTATAAAGATGCCTTTAGCTGTAAGAGATTACACATGGGAAGAAACGGAGAAAATGGTTTTTCTTACTGTGCCATTAAAAGGGGTGAAGGGTAATAAAGTCGACATACTTTCATCAGAGGACTACATAAAGGTAACAAGCACTATATGTTGTGAGAATTTTTTTGCGTTCTCAAATTTACAAAGGATTGTTTATCTTTAAATTTTTAGTTGCTAGTGTAAGTGTCACATGCTCGTGTTTTTACAAAAGAAAGTTCCTCTGCTTTTTTTAATTTCACCATTACAAAGTTTAACTGTTATAAGAAATGGTTATAGAACTGTAAAGGTTAAGTGTAACAGCTGGCATTTACATGCATTTTCTTTTAAAAAGAATTCATTCACATTTTTGAAACTTTTTCAACTTCAAGTTATATATATATATTATTAAAACAAATTATAAATAATAAATTTCAGGTAAGCTACCCACCTTACTTCTTTGAATGTTTCCTACATGAGAGCGTTGATGATGTGTCCAGTACAGCACAGATCGGTAATGGAGCTGTTGTGTTCAAACTTCTGAAAAAAGAGCCCCAGCTATGGCATCAGTTACATCACGAAAAAACAGGTAACTACCTCTAAAGATAATGCTCCATGTTGATCTGTCAATGGTATATTTTACTAATTGGGTAATTATGTCATTGTGAACATTTTAACAGGTCCGGCACAATCTCTTGATTAAGCTATATAGCTTGATTTAGCTATATAGCTTTATTAAGCTATTCAGAATAGCTTGATTTAGCTATTTTATCACACTTTTTTCTCAAATGTGTTATTTTCCAAGTATGCACAAAAAGTCGCACCTTGGTGCAGTGATGATATTCAACCTTGAACTCTTATGAAAATAATGCATGTAAAAATCACTCATCAAATTGTGTCTCCTTAAGAGACTTTGTACTCAAAGTTCTAAAATTTTTGGGGCTATATAAAGTAATTGATACAGTTACTTCTTCAATGAAATTATAAAGGAGGCCAATTATGGTCAACAAAATAATTGATTGGTAATAATTCAGTACAATGAGAAGCAATCATACTTATCCATGCCTCAACGCACACAAGGTAGTGTACAGTTACCCAAACAATAGAAATTCATCTTTTGCTTAAAAGTATTCAAATGCTGCAATGTTAGAACTATCTTTGATTTGGGTTGTTGATTTGATAACGGGAACCCATATTACATATATGAATAGTCAAATACTTGCGACTTTTTGTCTATTTTGTACAAATAACATTTTTGTGAAAACCTGCATATAAATAGCTTTATCAAGCTATTTTGAATAGCTTAATAAAGCTATATAGCTATTTCAAGCTATATAGCTTAATCAAGAGATTGTGCTGGACCTGTTTAACCCCTCATATTGGTAGATGATAAAGATTTCAAAAGACAAATTAAAGATGATGCCATCAAACGAAACCAAGAGAGGGCAGAATTATCTGCCAAAGAAAAGGCTGAGAAAAAGCGCGAAAGTGAAAAATATGCCATGAATGAAATGATGAAGGTAAATAAGCATAAAGATGTGTCATTATTTTGTAGTTACTGAATTATTTGTTAAAATTTACTCTAATAGAGAATCAGTAGAGAATGACTCTGTGTTCCTTCTAAATGTTTTTCTGATATAGCTCGAACAAGAAGAGCGAGACAGAATTGCAAACATCAAAGAATCTGAAAAGAAAAAAGCCATGGAGGAACTTGAAATTTGGAAAGAGGAACAGAGCCAAGCTGCTGAACAGGTACACATGAAAATAAAATGTGCAGGAGAATATCAGTGTTCACAAGACCAAGATTATGTACTGAGTTCTTTCCTACAGGTCAGTAGACCCACATTATGTACAATAGTTCTTGCCTACAGGTCAATAGACCCACATTATGTACCATAGTTCTTGCCTACAGGTCAATAGACCCACATTATGTACCATAGTTCTTGCCTACAGGTCAATAGACCCACATTATGTACCATAGTTCTTGCCTACAGGTCAGTAGACCCACATTATGTACCATAGTTCTTTCCTACAGGTCAATTTGATAGACCAACATTATGTACTGTAGTTTTTGCCTACAGGTGGATAGATACTTGGGAAACTTATTGAGAAGGAGATTGTATGCAACTGAAATAAGATTATAAATTCTTATTACAAAAATACATGTGCTTTGATAATTTATAGGAGAAAAACAGAATCATGGAAGAGGAAAGAGCCAAAGAGGCTGCTCGTAAAGAAGAAATGAGGAAGGAAAAGAAAAGGAAAAGTGAGTGAACATTTGTAAAATATTTATACAAAATGTTTCTCCGATTCAATAATATCTTTATGTTTAAGTTTATGAGTGAATGATATAAATTATGTTTAAATGAATTGAATGTACATCTGTTAATATAGACATATTTGATAGAATAAGATTGGATCAATCTTACTATAAATGACTTAAAACTCCCTTTTCTGCAGGTAAAAGTATTTTTGAAGATGCAAGTAATGGAGTACCCACAAGAGATGTTGGTAAAATTGAGATTAAGTTCACACCCCGAGTATTCCCAACACCTGTCAGAGAATCTCAGACACACCTAGAGGAAGAGGTATGTCAAGTACTAATTAAAACTGAGTAACTGAAGGGATCGAAATTAACTTTTTTGACCACTAGCAAATTTTAGGTAGTGGAATTTTTTCTTACTAGCAATATTGAACTTTCACTAGCATATTTTTTCCTCACATAGTAATTAAATTAACATAAGAATTATTTGAATATTTTCATAGAAAACTTATTTACACCTTGTGAGTTAATTTAGGTGGTTTTATAGCTCAAACGGGGGGGGGGGGGGGGGGGGGGGGGGGGGGGGGGGGGAGTAGCAACTAACAATGAAAGAAAATAAAACAGTAATTTATCGTTGAAAAAGTCAGTCTTAAGGTCATTCTTTTTAAATTAAAGTTGAATTCTCTCTAGAAAAATTTAATCATATATAAATCAATAATTATGATTGAAAAAAAATGAGTTTAAAAATAAATTATCTTCCTTTTTTCTGGTCCATGCAATATCTCATTTAAATTGAAGCAGAGTCATTAAATACACAGGAAATATATTTTTTGAAAATCACATAACACTTTTCCTCTAGTTGATTAAGTGATCGTAAATATCTACATGTATTTACTATAAACAAGGAAATGGAGGAAATTCGGATTAGGAAAAAAAACCCGATCATTTTAAGAAGTAAATAAGCCAGATAGTACATGTACTGCAAAATGGATGAGATTATGGATATTTACGAACTATAGGAGAATGCTACCTGGATATTTTTCATTTGCTTGGGAATGTAATAGCAAAAAAGTGAATAAAAATACCTGTAGTGCTTTTCATGTATTACATGGGTAATTTTAATTAGGGCCCCACTCTGCCGCCACCCTATAGTGATCAGTCTATCCGTCCGTCCATCTGTCCGTCCGAGATCTCTTGTCCGGAGCATCTGGCTCATACTTCACCCATAGAGTGTATTTGGGGAAAGGGTGTGCAGTGACCTTGAACCATGTTTCTAGGTCAAAGGTTAAGGTCATAGCAGAATTATATGAAAAATCCTTGTCCAGAGCATATCTTCTCTCCTCTTGGTCCAATCTGGCTCATACTTCACTCACAGAGTGCCACTGGTCAATGGATGTGCAGTGACCTTGAACGAAGTTTCTAGTTTAAGGGTCAAGGTCAAAAATAGCCTCTCTTTTTAAATTCTTGTCAAGAGCATATCTTCTCTCTCCTTGGCCCAATCTGGCTCATACTTCACCCACAGAATGCCTTTGGGTAAAGGGTGTGCAGTGACCTTGAACCATGTTTCTAGGTCTAAGGTTAAGGTCATAGCAGAATTATATGAAAAATCCTTGTCCGGAGCATATCTTCTCTCCCCTTGGTCCAGTGTGGCTCATACTTCACTCACAGAGTGCCACTGGTCAATTGATGTGCAGTGACCTTGAAGGAAGTTTCTAGGTCAAGGTAAAAAATAGCCTCTCTGTTTAAAATCTTTGTTCGGTGCATAATTTCTTTCCCTCAAGTCCAGTCATCTTCAAACTTTACCAATTGACTTAGGGTACGGAACATTTGTGATTTTCCTTCCATATTTTGATAGAGGATATGCAAAAACTTTTCATAGAGGATATGCAACATTCACGATTTTTATGCCGTTTTTTGATAGAGGGTATTGAGCATTCATGATTTTCGTGTCATTTTTTATTATAACAAGGATGACATAGAAGCCCTTTGGACTCAAACAACACATCCCTTAATAGTACACAAATGTTCCTCTTCAAAATAACCCCTTTTCAGCTACCTTACATTTTCATGTTCGTTGCTGAAAGCGGGGCCCTTTGAGATGGCCACCATATCAATGAAATCTAGTTTCTACTAGCTCGAGGGGCTACCTCTGTGCATAAAATCACTAGCCCGACCCCAAAAATGGTAGCTCCGGGCATGAGGCAATGCTAATTGCACATCCCTGGAATAAACCGGAAAAAAAATCTGAAAAAAGTTCCTTTTTTTAACTCGCAAAAGTTAGCGACCAGAGGTCGCTTTTAACTCGCAATTTCTGTTTTTAATTTGCATTTAGCAAGTATTTCCTGTTAATTTCGACTTTGACCCCTGACTGACTGTACATAAACGGTCATAGATGACTCTACATAAACAGTCATGGATGACTCAATCTACATAAACAGTCACGGATGACTCTACTTAAACAAACACTTATCTCGTTCTGCTACTCAGTGTAATGTGTTTCTTTTTTTAAGCATATCAAAGATTCTCATTATCTTCTCAACTAAGTATTACACCAGGGAATATGCTTTGTTGCTTTCTGTAAATAAAGCTTGCAATTATTTTCACCATTCTCTATTCAACTGCAGGTATGATATCTAGTTTCAGCTGTGCAATGTTGTATGTCAGTTTATAATGCTAACTTTTATTTTCACATAGTGGTTGAAAAAACAAGCAGAGGCCAGAAAAATTACAGAAATTGAAGATGAGGATTTGACAGAGGAGGAGAAGGATCCTATATACCTCAGGGATAAAGGGGTGTATGTATAAAGTACATATATGTAAATAATATTTAGCTACATGTTCAAATCATGAGTTCTACCTGTAAAATTTACAAAGTATAAGTTGACATGACTAGATTCAAAGGAAGATACCTTAGATATAGTGCAAATTTAACAAGTTTGTTAAATAATCTTCACTACAGCTACTGGGAAAACATTAAAAATAATTTATTACGTAAGAGGGTACAGTGTACTGTGTATTACGTAGTGTAGCTTTAAAGGACAAGGTTTGGTAAATGTTGAATTTGACCTCTTAATTTGTAGTTAAGATCTTTCAAAAATGCTTGTTTAAAAACTTACGTTAATTTTGATTTGAATCATGTATGGAGGGTACAAAGGATGACCAATTGAAACATTTTACTTAATTTTCTCAAGTTTGATTGAATTTTGTAAAATTTGAGATCTTTTTCCACTTCGGGGAAAAATACAGCACAAGCTTGCTTATCTGCAATTTTTATACAAAAG